GTCACATCTACCTTCCTGCGCTTCGATATCCATAACCATCTTATCCAAGATGCTATCCACGAAACAGCCCCCACTCAAATCCCTCCTCTCCCTCCCCGCCTCGATACGTCCAGCGGTCTATGCATCATGTCAAGCTCGAGGCATGGCGACAATACAAGAAAAGCAGCATCCAAAGACCGCCATCTTCTTTCCGGGACAAGGAGTCAACGCGTCGGAATGGCTACGGACTGGCTCGAAGCATTCCCGAAAACTGTGAAACCCATGCTTGAACAGATCGACGACACTCTCAACGTGAATTTGACCAAGATAATTGCCGAAGGACCTAATAGCCAGCTTACCGCTACGGAGAATGCTCAACCTGCTATCATGGCGACTTCGATCATCATCCTACGAGTACTGGAGCGAGAGTTCGGTTTCAAACTGGCGGATCGGGTTGATGTTACGCTAGGTCATTCACTGGGAGAGTTTGCGGCTCTGGTTGCTGGCGGGTATTTACGGGAAAAAGACGCGTTGAGATTGGTGAGGAAAAGAGCAGAGGTGATGGCACGGTGTGGGAAGGAAGCGAATGAGGAGGTGGGAATGGTGGCTTTGGTGTGCGAAGCCGATCATTTGGCGTCGATGATTGAAGCCATTTATAGCTTTCTTGGTCACACGTCAGAAGGCGCTAAGACGGATAGCCATTCGGATACTGATCTGCCTCCGGTGCAGCAGGTCTTGATTGCGAATGTCAACTCGAAGAATCAGATTGTTTTGTCTGGAGGCATTAAGCGTATCAACGAGCTTCTCACGCACCTGCGGCAATTCGCTGGACATGATCCGCGCGCTGTACGGCTGAAGGCTGATAGCCCGTTTCACAGTCCTCTGATGAAGCCTGCTGCCGAGCTCATGAAGAAAATGCTGCATCAGACATCGCCTACGGAGAAGGGTCAGGATATTGTGATATGGCCGGGCATCATGCCCTGCGTCAGCAACGTCTCTGCACGACCTTTTCAAAGCAAACAGCAGCTGATGGATCTGCTGGGGCAACAATGCGTCGAGACGGTTCTATGGCATGACAGTATTGTGTATTTGCACAAGGAAGAGAAGGTGAAGCGGTGGATTGGTATTGGACCTGGGAAGGTGGGAAGGAATCTGGTCGGCAAGGAAGTCGGCATGAAAGGTCTGAGTAAAGGTGGTGGTGTTTGGGGTATAACGGATCCTCGCGAAGTGGAGAGTGTTTTGAGAGACTTGGATAAGAGCGAGACAATGCAGGAGGAGTAGAGGCAGCATGCAAATAGATTCTGATGGTCATGAGGTCGACAAATCCAGCGGCATATCTATGCGGAAGCGGTGCGCGACGCGAGGCATGTGTGTGTGATGGCGCTGCAGCGGCGCGTGTGGGATAACATATGCGGCTGCCGCGGCGCGCATTCACTTCTTAGATATTCTTATGAATCCTCAAAACCAGTGATTGACTCCGCATGCGCCCGAGATGTTGAGTGTTCACTCTCAGCTCAGCTTACCGGAGATGCTTGGTTCACGAGAAACTTTCTTCGTGGCAGCTGATACTACGTGCATGTCAGACGGAATAACAAGGCTGGATCAAGGCTGTACGGAATATCTCCATGCATGCTGACCCAGGCCATCTTCTTCGACTCATCAATGCGATGCCAGTGCCGATGCCGCAACTTTGCCTTCACTTCACATCGTCGACCCTGCAGGAAAGCCATCTCCACCCTGCTCACGCCAGCGAATGGGCGGGCTTGTAGCTATCAGCTGCCGGGCTTATCGATACTCGACATTATTTTTTGGTTCATCTGGAGCTTTTGCTTTCTCATCATAGCTACCACGACCACTACCACTGCATCGAACGCGGCGCTCCTGTGTCGCTCGATTGCTGGAGTGGATGCTGCCGCTACCGGGAAGTCCTCGTGGGAGTTTGTTGATTCGGTGACGTGAAGTGTATTCTAATGCAAAGGTTGTGCTTGTGGCGCGCCACAGTTGTTGACAATAAGAAGCTGTTTCCCATCGACTCATTCCTTCACTTCACTCCCCAATTCCTCCTCCCACCTCTCATATCTTGATTAAGACCATATCATCGACGAAAAGCGAGGGCTTATTTTCGAGACCGACCACACCAAACACCACCACCAATCATGTCGAACGTCTCTGAGCCAGAGTTCGAGCAGGCCTACAACGAGTTGGCGTCTACCCTGGAGAACAGTACTCTGTTCGAGAAGAACCCAGAATACAAGAAAGCTTTACAGATCGCTGCTGTGCCAGAACGTGTCATTCAATTCCGAGTTGTGTGGGAGGATGATAAAGTGAGCGAATTTTATCAAGAAACGAACACAGAAGCATACATATCTAACAACTTTTACAGGGAAACTGCCAGGTAAAGGTTAAAGGCGAAAAGAGGAGTCCTCTGGATTGACTAACATGTACAGGTCAACAACGGCTTCCGCGTCCAAACACGCAGCCTGATGGTAAATACGGCGATATCTGGCGTTTTGCGTCATGCCGGCTAAGCGGAGTTATAGGTGGCCTGTCTGTGCCATCAAAGACTGCACATCATGCCAAAATGCCTTGACGGGGCTTCAATGGGAGGTGGTAAGGGAGGTGCCGATTTCGACCCCAAGGGCAAGTCGGACAACGAGATCCGGAAGTTCTGCGTTGCGTTCATGCGTGAGCTGAACAAACACATTGGTGCGGACACGGATGTTCCGGCTGGGGATATTGGTGTGTCGCCTCGAGAGATTGGGTGGATGTTTGGGACTTATCGGCAGGAGAGGAATCGATGGGAGGGGGTTTTGACTGGGAAGGGGGGTGCTTGGGGTGGGAGTTTGATTCGACCGGAGGCTACTGGGTATGGTCTTGTTTACTGTAAGTCGAGAAAGAGGAAAGACGGTCATCTGGCACTGACTGACGACTCTTTGCCCAGACGTCCAGCATATGATTCAGTACGCGTCTGGTGGTAAGGAGTCCTTCCAGGGCAAGCGCGTCGCCATCTCCGGATCCGGAAACGTCGCACAGTACGCCGCTCTCAAAGCTATCGAGCTTGGCGCTACTATCATCTCCCTCTCCGATTCTAAGGGCGCCATCATCGCCAAGGACGACAAGGGCTTCACGCCAGAAATCGTAAACTACATCGCAGCCCTCAAGGTCAAGAGAAAGTCTCTCACCGAGCTCTCCGAGAGCAAAGAATACAAGGATAAATTCGAATACATCGAGGGTGCCCGTCCATGGAAGCACGTCGGCAAAGTTGACGTGGCTCTACCATCTGTAAGAAAACCCCCGTGAATTTTTCATTCATAAAGGACCCTGACTTACACTCCAACCAACCAAAATAGGCAACCCAAAACGAAATCTCCGGCGACGAAGCCGAAGCCCTTATCGCTGCGGGATGCAAGTACGTTACTCGCCATCAAAAACCATCCCATCCCGTCCCGTCCTATTCGAGTCATTTCCTAACCACTTACCATTCACAGATTCATAGCCGAAGGTTCCAACATGGGCTCAACGCAAGAAGCCATCAACATCTTCGAGAAAGTCCGGAAGGAGAAGAAGGGCGAAGGGATCTGGTACGGACCCGGAAAAGCCGCGAACGCAGGCGGTGTTGCGGTTTCGGGTCTCGAAATGGCACAAAACTCCGCTCGTGTGTCGTGGACTTCTGAGGAAGTTGATGCGAAGTTAAAGGTAAGTATAACTCTTTCCCCCCCCCCCTTCCAACCAAAGGATGTTTTTTTTGGTTTGAGACGGGAAGCTCATTGTTGTGCCTGCGCAGGGGATCATGGAGAATTGTTTCCAAAACTGTCTCAATACCGCCAAGGAGTATGTGAAAGCTGAGGATGGAGAACTTCCTTCTCTTGTTGCTGGGGCGAATATTGCGGGTTTTGTTAAGGTTGCTGGGGCGATGAGGGATCAGGTAAGAAATTTCTTCTGAAAATTATTATCTTCTAAATTGAGGATTTTATTTGAACTGTGCTAACTTTTTTGGATCAAAGGGTGATTGGTGGGCTTATTGAGTCAAATTGATCGCGAATGGATTATGCATGTACCCAATTACACACTATACGATACAGCGATGAAAGGAAACGACACAGCGGCAATGGGGTAGAAAAAGCGCTTGCTCTTGATTCATCGTGAGATTCCAAACTAGGATTATATTTTATCGGCTGGTCTGGTATGTAGTAAAGTAAAGTTTTATACAAAACGAGAAATGAATATCATCATGTACAACATTGCTTCGTTCATTACCACATTAGCAAGAAGTGCTGTCCCAGTCTGCGATGAGAATTATTAGCACAGCTCCAACTTGTCCAATGCGATCGGCAGGACAGCACAACTTACATAATTCCCACCCCCAAACTCCCCCTACCCACCCACAATCAAAACGACCCATCCTCCCTAACCTCATGCCCCCTCGTATACTCCCAACCAGGAAGCTTGGTCCCCTCCAACTCCACCCTCGTAATCTCAAGTCCCGACTGCTCAGGCAGCGGCGGATGCAAATTCTGCTTCTCCAGCACCGGCGAAGGTTGCGCCAAAGCCTGCGACTGCACCGTACGACTCCGAATTATATCCGCAATTTGTAATTCTCGCACTCGTCGATCGTTGACTCGTCCTGCCAGCCACTGTTTTCTGCGTTTCATGATGAAGAAGATGAGGCCTGCGAAGAGGCAGACGCCGAAGAGACAGCCTATTGCTACGCCGGCGCGGGTTCCGGCGTCGACGGAGGAGACTTGGGAGCTTGATTGGGGTTCTGGAGAAGGGCCGACGGAGATTTGGGAGGGTGTTGGGGTTGATTGTGGGACGGGGTCGCTTCGTGTGATTTCGAGGTTTCTGGCGAGGGCTTGGTTGATGCTGAGGAGGACGAGGAGGGTTGTTATGCTGAAGTGTTGTTCCATTGTGGGGCCGAATGTGCCGATTGATCGAATCCGTGATGATGATCTGTTTGAGGGTGGATCAGAGATCGGGGATGATTTGGTTTGTTGATGGTCCACTGCGACTAGAGGTAACGACTGACTGGATTCGGGTTCCAAAAGGAGGGAGGAGAGAGAGAGCCGGGCTGCGTCGATAGGGTAGAGTGGTATATGTGTGATTAGCGCACAGCGCCGAACGAAAGGCATCCCTGGGCGAAAGCGTATCGATTAATCAGAGTGGTCGGGATATCGTGGTGGCGCAATGCTTCTTTCGCTTTTATCAAGATTGATTGCAGATTTTGAGCAGCACAGATCTATCCTTGGTCATTTCACCCTCCACATTGGGCTGCTAAGAAGTCTGTAAGCAGTCTGCAATGGTCGCTCGGTATTGGCAATATCGGCTAGATACTTCTTGAAACAGTTGCAGGTGTCGTCAGATGTTTCAAGAGCGAACCGTTCCTGGTGACATAACAGTGCATGACGATCGCACCTCAGCGTGGAAAACTCGCCTTGCCAGTTCTTGTTGTTCGTGATGCCACATCAGAAGCTGCCGTATGTATGTACATCTCGTATTGGCAACAGACGGATAAGTCCAACGCTAAAATAGCTGATTGCGTGCGCAGCCCGACAAGGTTCTGGTCATGAGTCGTCAATACAGTCATCCCTGCAAGAATGGTATTCTTGGCGCCGATTGGGCTCTTCACATACCGATGAGGCTTCAATCGAGTTTCGTGAAGATGAGAGCACACGAACAACCAAGTCATGTAGGGTTCGTTCGCCTCGTTGAATGCTTGGACCGTCGAAGATATGCGAGATGTAATCTCAGGTGCTTTGAAAAGAGATCTCTCGCGTGAGCTTTTACAAGGTCCAGGTGAACACCAGGTGTCGCGTCTTTGGCAGGGTGGCGCCAGGAACGTCGTGACAGATCCAAGTGTGGTGGAAGCTGTATCTCTCCATGTCATAAGTTGGGGTTTAGCGTATGGTGCTTGTGGGAGCATTCGTCGGTGGTCTCTGAGAGCTTCGACGAGGTTGACAGGTGAGTGGAAGGCTGAGTCGCGGGTCGCACGAGGCAAGGTCCTTGGGACTTGGCAAGACCATATCTTTTGCTGGCAGGAAGATGTCCAGGGCAACTCGGTATCCGTCTTGCCGCATCAAGGCATTTCGTATCTACGGCGTCTGAGCTCTGCTGCCAGAGGCCGTCGGGTCGGGGGCGTCCATGCGCAAAGCTGTCAGCGCGGATAGCTCGCCCCGGCAGCCACGAAGACCGCTCTGACATAGAGTATGCATTCAGAAGTAGAACCTCTCCCATCGCTTCAGAGCTCGCCCACTTCTCCTTGCAGGATATCTTCGATCGCCAAGCCAACCATGCCTAGCACCACGTGACCACGAATTTAATTTGACACTGTCGACATTTCGGAACACGACCAGGGTCCAAGTACCGCGGCGTTTCAATTGGCTGCAGTACCGCAGAGCCGCATATCCAAAATAACAACCTCATCGCCGCTGACTCTGGTTTCGCAGAACAACGAAACTCCCTCATCAGCGCCGTTGTAGCAAAAACCCGTCCGACTGCGGACTCTCCACCAAGTTCTTCACCTTCCCGAATCGTACCGTTGCGGCAGACACAACACAGATTTCAAAATGGCGCGTGGCAACCAGAGAGACAAAGCCAGAGAGAAGAATTTGGCCAAACAGGCACAGGAGGTAAGAAGATAGCGAAGACACTACAGCATACAGATCCCCTCGTTTGATATTCCTCCGTTTTCACTCTTTCTTTCGCTAACACTCGCACCAGAAATCCAAAACCACAGCCTCAGGAACACAGCAACAGCGTGACAAGGAAACTGCGGCGGAGATTATGAGGAGGAAGCAGGCCGAGGGTATGTCTGATCGATTCATCATTGAAGAAAGGGCTCTGAGATTGCTAACTCACACTTTCTGATCTTCAGCCGATGCCAAGAAAGCTGCTGCGGCTGCAAATGGTGCGAAGAAGTAGAAGCCACCTCACGATCCGATAAGACGTCTCCTGAGGTGTGACCTGGCTTGCGGCTCTTCATGCTTTGACGTTTATGTTATTACGAGCGTTCACGTATTGTACTGTTCCACTGCTGCGGTAGAGAAAACAACTTAACCAATGTTTGTTGCTTGTCACCTCCGATGGACCACACGTGAATGCTGTACTTGCGTCATGCGTTGCAAAGGTTGAAAATGGTGAAGGTCTTCTGTACTCGCGGTATCTCGACTGAAAGGGAAAGTGTGAAAACGTTGAATGGCTAAAAAGCACAAACAAGAAAAGCAGTAGCCTGGCTGTGTGCCAGAACAGTCCCAATCCCCATCTCCCTCGCAGACCATGCATGCCAGAATTTCCTGATGTACTACGAGGCCCGTCCGCCCCAAGAGGTAGGATGTATACTTCGGAAGACCTTCTCGTTCCCGACAGCCTCCTGGTCTACATCTTCCCTCCTGCTTCGTCGCTTGCAAGTCTCCTTTGAGCCCCATGCTCGGCTCTGACGCTCCGCGTCTACTCATGTGCCTTTCTCTGCTGCCCACTTCAGCCCCTTAGAAAAGGAAATATGCAATCAAGAAGCTGAGCAAGCACAGAGCTGCAACGATCTGAACGGGCACACCTCCTGATGGTGATGACTGCAAAGCTGTAGCCGGTCCAGACTTTCCCGTGGTCGCAGTATCTCCGACCGTCTTACGCTGCCGTAGTCCTGTGGCCTCAGCCGCTTGGGTTTGTAATCGTGATATAGTAGCGTTTGCCTCGTCGAGCTTCTTCTGGAGTTCGGCTTGCGAGAGGCCAGTGGCGCTAGAAATGGCAGCTGTTGCGGAACCGAGTGTGGAGTTGGACGGTGCAAAGTCGGGCTCCGGACTCTTATTGTAATCGCTGGCCGCGGAGTGGCTCGGTCGTTGTGGAGTCACGGCTGGTGGCGTGGGAGAAGTGTATGCAGGTGGCTCTTCATCGTGATGAGAGACGCCGTTCGTAGCAGCAGCAGCAGCACCGCTACCATCTGCAGGCAGAAAATTGACCCGAATCTTCTTCTCTTGAATGCTAGACTTGGCAGACTGCTCGATGTTGGCCCAGATCTGCGCGACATTGTTGACGTCCCTGTCGGCAGAAATGGCAACCGACTGAACCAAGAACTTGTCTCTGCATCGTGTGTCTGGTGGAGGGTCTTCCTTCATGGCCTGGAGAAGCACTTGCACTTCGACCTCGCCATTTGCCTCGATGCGGCCAGAGTTGGGTCGTACGCAGTATCTTGAGGAAAGTCAGCATCCCTCTTCAACCCGCCTCGGTGTTGGATTGCTTGGTATACGTACTGCTTCGGAGCGGTGGTCTTGACCTTGAAGGCTACGGGATCGCTGTTGGGATTACGAAGGCGGAGCACCTGGGAGACCTCGTGGGTGAAGGGGCCTGATTAGGCATTATTAGTCTCCTGAAGCGCAACTTCTCCCAGTATGCACAGCACATACGCTTGAAGCCCAGCTCGGGTGGGTTGAGCTCGACCGACATTGTCCCTTATCACTGTGACGCTATCTCGAGTCGGATATCCAGAAGTTGGGGTTGTTTCGAATTGCTAAGCTGGCCTTTGCGACGTTCCGAGGTAGTCGAAGGAAGGCACAGGAGGACGTCGCAGGTTATGTAGGTGGCAGAATGTTCGTAGACAGGGTGGAGAGCTTTCCGGCACCGTATGCTAAAGGTTTCCGTGGTCGACGATGAATTGGAAAGTGTCGTGGTGGCTGGAATAGAGCCCAGAACCTGGTCAAGGCAGGAGCGCAAGCACGGACGCTCGCGACGTCAGTGGAGCAAGCACGATTCACATGCAGGCAGGCAAGCGACGTGCAGCATTAACTCCACCTGTTCACGAATCACGAGCTCCACGCAATCCGAAAGCCGATTTGCAAATTGAAGTCGACTTGTGCAACACAGAACTCTGAACATCGGCTCGCGCTCGACCACCCATTAGAAAACAAGCACCGCAGCTTCCGCATCAACCAACCGAGCTTCCAGATCCACGCCACTGCACAAACGCTCCATCAAGGTCGCTCACTGGGGCAACATGGCAGGCGACCTCGATACGCTCGTTGACATGGGCTTTGAGAAAGAGAAAGCACAACACGCACTGAAGAAAGGCGGCAATCTCACTGGTGCTATTGACTGGCTGGACAAGAATGCCGACAAGAGCTTAGAAGACATCAAGGCAGACGAAGCTGAAGATGCCGAGGCACCACAACTCGAGGCTGGCGAGCAGGCGCGATCCATGATCTGCAACGAATGCCAGAAGAAGTTCCGCAGTATGGCGCAGGCACAGTTCCACGCCGAAAAGAGCGGACATACCGACTTCGCCGAATCGTCTGAAGAGCTCGCTCCGTTGACAGAAGCTGAGAAGGCGCAACGCCTGGCCGAGCTCAGGGCCAAGCTCGCAGAAAAGAGAGCGGCTCAGGCAATCGCGGACAAGGCAGACCAGAAGCGCAACGAGGAAATTCGGAAGAAGCACACCAAGGAAAACGATGACGCAAAGGAAGAGCTGCAGCGGAAGGAGCAAATCAAGGAGGCGCAGAAGAAGAAGCAGGAAAAGGCCGATGACATCGCCGCCAAGCAGCGTATTCGCGAGAAAATTGAGGCCGACAAGGCGGCGCGCAAGGCGAAGGCAGAGGAAGAGAAACGTATGCGCGAAAATCCGAGCGCTTATAACCCAAGCGCACCCTCCGCGATAGCTGGGGGAGGAGCCTCTCTTGCCTCCGCAGCCCCCCCTAAGGCCAACCACAGTGAGGCTCGACTCCGTCTACAGACCACGGCAGGCAACATCATGAAGACCTTTCCCGCTGAAACCACACTTTTCGAGGTCGCAGCAGCCATCGAACAAGAAAATGGTACGAAAGCGACATCCTTCGGTATCAACTTTCCACGCAAGACCTTCGCGTACGAGGATTTTGGCATGACTCTGAAGGAGTGTGGACTCGTACCTTCCGCGGCATTGAATGTGAAATAGCTCACCTGACTGGAAAACGCGTCTGGGATTCGTTGGGCAGCTGAGGGTTTAGGTGGAAGGGCTGGATATCGATTTAGCGAGGCGTATGGGGGCGGCATTCATCGAAATGAGCATTCTGGTTGTTGTAGATAGAGTTCCATGAGATGAAGAATGAATTGACGTTGTGTTGTGTTGCGTGTCTCGACTCTAACATTTGTCTCTATATGCTACGGGCTCCGTCTCGCAGACCGTAGCCTCTTCTGGCTATCGTTTTCGAGAGCGAATTGAGACTAGGGTCAACACCAGCCATTGTCTCCGAGCTATGGTATCAGCCTCGCCATGGGTAGACTGTTCTGTACGTCACGAGACAGAGCGAGCGAGTACTGTCCGCCTTGACTACACCCTATCTTCAGGCCATGGTCTCAGATTCGCAGACCGTAGGCTCTTCTGGCTGTCGTAGGCTTGGGCGAGCAAAAAATTGGTACATTATCGCATGACTCGACCCCAGTGGTTGCGTCAGGCTCGTCTGTCCACACAACGTAGAGAGCGAGCTGAAATCATGCATTGCCTTCAATCTCATTGTCAACTCAGCAGGCTATAACATCGGCTTCCAAGACCTCAAGGTATGCTGTGCTGTCTATGAGAGCGATTCTGCTGGTGTCGTACGAATTTTGCCTTCCCACGGAGCTCCAGTTCATAAAGGTGGTAATTAATATCTGCGAGCTCTTGATCCTCTGCGGACGGCTGCCAGTAAATTGTCCTGGTTCTGACGCCCTCTAAGTCGCGTACACCTTCAAGATCGATGGGCTGTTTTCTGTCGTGCTGAAGTTCTTGCGGAAAAAGGGCTTTGCGGCATATCGGATAGGAATTTTGTTGGCGAAACCAGACTTGTATGCATTCATGGCCAAGGACCGGACTACTACCGCGTGACTATCAGCCTTCTTGCTGCGGTTCTTGCATACTCGCCCAGGCTTTCTGTTGGCCTTCATAGAGACCTGTGTAGTATCCGGCATAGTACCAAGACATCATGAGATTCTTCAAGTCTTCGTTCTGGGCTGATAAGGTGTCAGCGCAAGCAAACATCATGCGATGGATTCACTTACTTGAAGAGACAAGCGTCGGAAGCAGACTCCCCAGTCCATGAGGAGCAGGCGGAAGGGCAGACACATTAGTTTGTGCAGTGCCTGCCGGTCCGGCCACAGGTTGTGGCGCTGATGAAGCCGTCTCTGCTTGTGATGCAACCAGAGCAGGGACGAAGTTCGCAGGTGTGGTTGAGGGTTTCAGAGCTCCATTGGGCCCGCTCGTCGCTTTCGATGCACTAGATGATTGAACCTGTTCGCCTCTCGCAGCTAGACTGTGATATTTCTGAGACATCGTTAGTGACAGGACGCGTGGAAGAGCAGGCATAGAATAGGTCAGACCTTGTACTCTTCGAATGCATCGTTCCAGTTTTGTACAAGATCAGAATCGTCCCAGACCTCCTCATGCGAGAGCTCTCCGCCTGCGTGATTCGCCATGGTGTGATCTGTAATATAATTTCAGTTTTGATAATTATTTCGAGACGATGCGAAGATGTAGCAATGTAGATGCGCATCTCGAGGCAGCAGGGATCGCATCGGCTGTCGGCGAACTCAAATTGAGCTTCAGAAAAATGTTGGCCCACTTCGATCTGTGCATTTTCCACATCACAATCACATTGCCAGGCATTGTCACATATAGCAATCATGTCGGCCAATGCTAAGGGAAAGAAGCGCAAGTCCGGCGACAGCGTTGCGCAACCTGCGAAGAAGGTGAAGACAACTACCACGACCGTCAAGTCAGCAGACCGACCAGCACCGGCGAAATCTGCGCTGAAGAAGAGCAAAGTCGAGACGACTGTGACTGAGAAGCCGAAAGATAAAAAGGCTAAGCCTGAGCTAAAGGTCAAGAAGGTGGTCGAGAAAATGGAAGAAGTTGGGCCCGTGGTGTCTGATATTGACGAGGAGGAAGACGGCGGCGCCGAGCTCACCGCAGACCAGACAGCGGACTTGCTTGCTGGTTTCTCGAGTGACGAATCCGACGACGGGGATGGCGATGAAGGCGTAGACATTGCCAATCTTCCCGCGGCGCCTACCACGGGTGGAGTCCAGAAAGTCATCTCCAAAGCATCGAAGCAAAAGAGCGACGACCCGGAGAACATACCAGGCGTAGTCTACATTTCTCGGCTTCCGCACGGTTTCTTCGAAAAGCAACTGCGCGCCTACTTCTCGCAATTTGGCACCATAACCCACCTGCGCCTCGCTAGGAATCGCAAGACAGGCAAGAGCAAGCATTATGCTTTCATTGAATTCGAGGCCGCTTCTGTTGCAGACATTGTGGCCAAGACCATGGATAAGTATCTGCTGTTCGGCCACATCCTGCAGTGTAAGCGCATTCCCGCTGAACAAGTCAAAGACGAGATGTGGAAGGGTCCAAAAGGTGTGAAGAATGGGAAGGTGCGGCCAAGGAACAGAATTGAGGGGAGCAAGCTACGAAAGGGAACTGATCGAGAGGGGTGGGAGAAGAGGATAACTCGTGAAGAGCAGAGACGACAGAGCAAGCAAGAGAAGCTGAATGAGTTTGGCTACGATTTCGAGATGCCTGCAGTAAAAGGTGTTGATGCAGTCTCCAAGCAGAAGGCAGTGGAACCAGCCAATGCTGAGGCTAGTGCTGAGCAGGAGGAGGGTGGCGCAAAGCTCGTCGAGGAGCGGGAGAAAGAGCCTGTTCTTGAGGAGACCGTTGTGGCCACGATCAAGTCAGGTCCCAAGGGCAAAGCCGTAGTAGAAGGGAAGATCTCGAAGCACAAGACCAAGGCCGGGGGTGAGAAAGCCACAGGGAAGAAGCAGAAGACCAAGGCATAGGCGCGAATTCGCACTGCTTCATCTGTCTGCATCCCGAAGACGGTGCTACCTCCATATCACATGCTCTGAATAGCACAAGTCTTGTGTAATATGAGGAGGTTCCTAGGGCATGTGAACGAGAGTGAAGCGGGCAAGGCCTCTGGCACGTGCCTCTAAAGTAGCACAAGCCTGGTCAAAGCTTTGCGGAAACTCACCTGGCAGCGGCCCTCTTTAAACGCAACCTGAGTCTCTTTCCAACCTTGCTTTCTTACAGTACATCAAGACAAGATTTTCAAATTTCGTCAGGAGCCTGGCGCACTTCCACCTTGGTTCATAATAGAACAAGGCAACATGCTCAAATTAAAACTACCTCGCGAACCACATCGCCGCCGATTGAGGCATCAGGAACCCGAACTTCCACCTATGGATACAATGCGCATCAAAGTTGACGAGATACTTGGCAAGACCACAGTCGCGACTTCGGATGACCGAGTCAAAGCTCAGTACCGTCGAATTCAGCGCGGAGTTTTGCTATACGAAACATGCAGTAGCGAGGAGCTTCAAGTCTTCTGCCAGCAAAGAGGAATAAGCCTCCCGAGGAGCTCCAACAGAATCACAAGACGCGCGCGAGATGATTTGATCAAGATCCTCGAATCCGCTGACGAGAACATCACCTTTCACAAATACAAGAACCTGCCGGCAGAACTCGGCCTCCTTGTTATCGAAGCCTACATGTCCTCTGTGCCCAGTTCCAACATTTCCGCCACGCCACCACCCATTTGCGGCGTCTCTCGCTCCCTTCGCCACGACTCCATGATCATTTTCCACCAGACCCTCAGACTCAACCTGAGCTTCGACTTTCACAGAGGATCTGTTGATCTGGCTCTCGGATCTCGGTCTATGATAGAAGTGCTGTATATCAGCGAAGTTGAATACATCAAGAAGTATTCCATCCGCGGTTTCTTCGCCCCCGACAGCAAATCCGTCTTCACGCTCGACATCTCCAAGGATGGCAAGAACTATCAGATTTCGAAGACGAACGAGCCAATCTCCGACAGGCAGAAAAGGATTGCTGGGAAAATGTTTGGGCAGATGAAGGCTTCGCTAGACGGTATGCTTGCTGGAAAGGGGAGGATTGTTCTTCGGTTCTCGGAGGTTTGGGGATGGCGGAGAATGTGGGAGATGGCATTGAGGGATGTGGAGGATGAGGATGGTGAGAAACATATTGGGAGCTTGAGCGGCCCACCTGCGCCACCCATGATGATCGGCGCGTAGAGCTTTCCCTCGATAGTTGCATAATTGGAGATGGGAAGTACATCGGCGTTGGTTTTTTCTGCTTTTATTTTGGATTTTGGGGTCAGGAAGGTTATGGGTACTCTGTTTGTACTTTGAATTATGTCTTCAGTACTCTCCAATACCATAGTTTTGGCTTCGATGTCTGTGTGGACGTGAAGGTACAACGTCTTCTATGCTAAACCATATACACTCCTGAATTGCCTCATCGCGGAGATAGGTTACGGTGAGATTTTAAGACTTCACCTCTCCCCATCTCAGCCCTCCCAGGAAGGATATACGTTGAGCTATCCAGTGCGAGACCACATGAAAAGCTGTGCAACCTCACCGCAGAGTCAACTCATCGTAGTCTTCAACTCTACTCTTCATAGAACATTGGAGCCTTCTCAGCCAAGAACACTCTCCGAGCTATTGCGCGCAAAACCGCATGCAGTCGCGCACCCCTTTCTCGCAGGGAACGATCCAGTGAGACTCAATTCCTAGCCTCCTGCCTGCTTAGGATGTTTAAGGCTTCCAATGGAACAGTATACGTCTCGCAATTCAGTGCGAGCTCGCACACACTCCTGTGCAGCTTCCAAATGGAGTGGACCCAAGGTGAGAGTCCAAGTCTTCACCTTCCGGTTTCCAGAATGCCTAACGCTCTCCTCAGAGAACGCGTTATTTGAGCAGTCCGTTACGAGATCGTGTAAAAATCTCTACAGCCCGATTATGGAACTAATACACAGTGAAGGTCCAAGTCTTTACCTCCTCTGGTCTAAGACAACTTGCCTTTTCCGGAAGTTGAGCCTGCGGTGAGCAACTTGGTGCAAGATCATAAATGCTCATATGTAGCCTCATAATGAAGCCGGCTTACCGTGAGAACTTACTTTTCACCAACATTCCAGTCAGCATCTCGGAGAAAGACACAGAGGCGGGCGCTGCAATGCGAAGTGACCTGTATTCCAACGGAGCCCCTTTCCAGGGCCGGCTCATGGTGCGTTGTACAGTTCACCTCTCTTCCAGTCAGCTTCCGTGAGAATACTCCAAGCCGAGCTATGGATTACGAAACAATATGTATCCCAACGTAGCTACAGCGTAGAGTCAGGACCGGTGATGATGTAGTACTCACTTTCCTTTTGGTCAGCTTCTCTAAGAAGGACCTTGAGCTGGGCAATGAGAATTGCAGACAGACGATTCCAGCGTAGCCTCAGTGTAGAGTCTCGTCTCGTGAGAATGTGACTTTTTACCATCTCTTTCGGCGAAGAACTCTGAGGACGACTACCAGCCAAGAGATTTGATGTGAACTCACATACATGTACGTTCCTGAAGGACGCTTTGACTGAAGTCGAAAGCGGTGCCGTCGCGCACCCTCACTACCTTTCCGCGCACCAACTCGAGCAATCCTTGTGAGCGAAGCATTCCAATGCGAAATCGTATCTTCTCGTGGGAAAATAGAGTCTTGCTTCTTTCTAGGCGTCTCTCCGTGTAAGTGGTCCCGATGACGGCCTCGCTGCCGTCCGTGTATATGACGAACCGCCGTCTCGAGACTCGCAATCCGGTTGAGGCTCTGCATGTGCTGTCGACAGAAAGCACATCAACGATTGCCAGCGAATGCAACTTGGGATTGGCTGAATGCAGGGAGGTGAAGGATGCTCGAACTCAAAGCATCCTGGAAGCCTTTGCAGATCCAGGCCAAGCAGGAGCAATGGGAACGATGGGCTGACTTGATAGACCGCCAAACAGCTTTTGTGTGAGTTGGCACAAAGTTCACATTTCCACTTAAGAAGTTGAAAGTTGGAGGGAAGGAGAAGGAGATCCTGTGCACAGGCCAACGAGGAGAATGGCCTTGGCAGACGCGGACTGCAGCAACAACGACGACCTCGACCTAGACGTGTCAATCATCCCATGGAGTCAGCGAGGGTCATACCTCAGCCTTGCGACCAAAGCTGGGAGGCGAGGCTGCCTCACTCCTGGAAGTGATGTGTATCTCGTTACTCACTGCCGCCAGTTCGGCTTTCCACTCTTCGCCCTTCGCCCAATTCCTCCAGGACATGCACTGCCTGCACCATCCGGCTTCCAACGCGCGAACCCCCTCACGACAGTCAAGGCAAAACCAGGTATACTGTCTTGGCAGCATGAAGGATCTATCTTGACCCAGGTCGCCTTCCTTCACGATCGATGTCTCCGATTCCGCGGGACTGTTCCCTTTACTTTCGACACCGATGCGGGGCTTGAGAAAGAGGCGTGTAGTGCGTACATGTTTTGCAGACCACATGTAAACGGAACGCCAGACTCGATTGACTACGTCTTTAACAGCATGCCAGGATATCGCTTCATTGCGACCCGAGGAAAGCTTAGCCAGATCAATGGCAATAGACCAGAAGTTCTCGACAAGCGCATTGAGATAGCTGGAACGGAAGAGAATCCTGAATGGGAGCTTTTGGCATGCGAGTTGGATATGACAACAGGCGATGGTGATACAATGAATACCTGCGATGAGTTCGTTGACGATGTCAAGAGCACTCCATTCGAATCAACGGTCGAGCGGACCCAAGTCGAGTTTCAACACTTCGCAAAAAGTCTGTGTCCATGGTCTACAACGGCTTTGTCCCACACCGAGAGTTTGGCCAGCTATGTCATCTGGGCAACCACGATCCGTGCTGGCGGACACTTGACTCGCGAGGCCATCCTGATGAGCAAACTGTGGATGAACAGGGCTTGGAGTTGGGACAATTGTTTAAATGCTCTAGGTGTCGCAGATGCAGATTTGGAACTTGCGCTCAATCAGCTTCTGCTTTTCAGCGATCTTCAAGCTCGTAATGGCCGTTTGCCGGATTCAATAGACTGGCTGTTCGTGGAATGGGGCCACACAAAGCCACCTATTCAAGGCTGGGCGATTGCAAGATTGCTTGAGATGAGAGGTACCGACATCGACTCTAAGACTTTGCACTATCTATACACGTCCACTGCACGCTTTACTGAGTTCTGGTTACAGGAACGGCGTGGGAGTATCTCCCGCTTGCCGTGGTATCCGCATGGCAATGATAGTGGATGGGACAACTCCACTGTCTTTGATGGACAGTCAGTCATCATCGGTCCCGAATGCGCAGCGTACCTGGTCATTCAAGCCGATACTCTGGCTGATCTTGCTAAAATACTTGACCGCCCTTCGCAAGAGTCCGAGAGATGGCGCCAAGTGAGAGACGCTCTACTCACGGCACTGGTCGAAGAGCTTTGGGACGGTAAAGCCTTCTTGGTCAAGAATGCTCTGACGGGTGAGAGGAAGCGATCGACCTCACTATTCACACTCATGCCTATCGTCGCTGCAGAGTACCTTCCGAAAGAAATCGTCGCGAAAATGGTCGATGATCTCTCCAAACACTTGACATCGTGGGGACTTGCTACCGAGCAGCTTGACTCACCTCATTACCGGAGCGACGGCTATTGGCGTGGGCCGATCTGGGCTCCCTCAACGCAGCTCATCGAATCAGGGCTGCGCCGTGTAGGGTTCACAGAGCTCGCCAACACCATTAGCAGCCGTTTTATTGCGCTATGCGAAAAAACTGGATTTGCCGAGAACTACGATGCATTGAGCGGAGCCGGTCTGCGGGATGTCTCCTACACCTGGTCTGCTGCGACATATCTTACGCTGCGGAGAGAAGCTGCGGCGAGAGCAGAGGCTCATAAGGGATGAGAGAAAAGCCATGTATGAACACACTGGCCGCGGTGATTGATGCTAGTGCGATATAGAACTCAAGTTAGTACACCTCGTTTTCGTCTCATCACTCGTCCTGAGTTGCCCTCTCCGTTATTTCATGCTCTGCAAACCGGAAAGCATTGACTTTGGCATGCTTGAAGGCTCTGGTCGGCGTACGTCGCTCGAACAAGAGATCAAGCTCAAATGGCGTCCGATCTTTGCACTCCGGCAGTCGGAAGAACGTCCACGTCAAAGCGATGAGACAGATTGAAGCCCATACAAAGCCCGCCCTTCCTCTTAAATTCCAGGCAGTGGGGTTGAGCATTGGAGGGCTCAAGAAATTGGCACCGATTGCCAGCACCTGATATGCAGACCGCGCAACGACCACTGTCCTCTGCCGCAGTCTTGCAGAAGGCACCTCCGGTACGATCGTGAAGCAGACTGGACCAATCGTCAAAGAGTAAATGAAGCTGTGTAGCACCAGCATGACACCTGACGCGTAGCCGATTCCTGAAGACAGCCTTGGAATACCCATCGCGCCCACAATCAGCTCAATCGCGAGCATTCCGGTAAGGCCCGTCAGATACAGTGCTCTCCGGCCAACTCGAGCACCGACAAACCAGGAGGCTATTGTCCCGACGCAAGTGAGACCGGTCATGCCGAGGCCGAAGCTGAACGCGTGCTGCGGGTCAAATCCAGCTTGCTCCAGGAAGTAGGTGATATTGCCACTCAGCCAAATGCCACTCGCGACTTGACAAGCCCAAGCCATTGCCGCGATCTCCGTTCGACGAAGGTTGCTGCCCTTGAAGAGGTCGTAAAACGTCGTACCTTCCTGCACATTCTTCTCATGCTCATTGGTGTAATCAATCAACTGTAAGTAATTCTCCAGCTGCTCCTCCGGCATGGTCGTAGCGGTCAGTCGTCTGAGCGCCGCTTTGGTGTCGTCACGTCGTCCTTTCCTCATCAACCACCACGGCGACTCGGGCGCCAAAAAGACTATGATGGCGATGGGAACAGGCCAGAACCACTGTGTCGCAAACGGAATCCGAAACCCCCATTCATCATGTCTTGTCAGCGCCGCCTTCATCGCTCCCGTAGCTATGAATTGTCCAATACACCAACAAAGATTCAAAAACGAGGTCAGCACTGCGCGCAAAGCCAAAGGCGCTATGTCAGCCGCATACGCACTCGCCATGCCCTGGAACATCCCGAACGGAATGCCCGTGATCAGTTGCCCGAAAAATAACGTGATGATGTGATGCGCAAAGAAGGTAATGAAAATTGCGGCTGTGATGAATGCCAGGGCGACGTGCATGGACCTCCTGTACCCGACTTTCTCCACCATCCAGCCCGCGAGAATCAGTCCTATAATGCCTCCGACTGATCCTATGGCGTTCGTAGCAGATTGCCATGAGGCCGAGACTTGATAGTCGCCGTTGGGGAGTCTTTTGCCGAAGTATTCGCGGAATTGTGGGAGAGAGAAGATGTTGCCGAGAAGGGAGTTGTCGTAGCCTTCCATGATGATTGCGAGACTGATTCCTATGGAGAAGAGGATTGCTTTGGGGAAGAGAGCTGTTGCTTCGCGGAAGGTGAGGGCGTGTTCGTCGTCGTTGGCGGCTTGGGCTCCCAGTAAGGACTTTTGTGGTGATATGTCTTCGAGGCATGTCGTGGAGTCGTTGACTGTTGGACCTTTCTTGGGGCTTGAGAGGGGAGGTGAAGGTGAGGAGCTGGTTGGCCGGATTTGCGGCGTGCCTTCTTTCTGTCGTTCTTCCATTGTGAAGCTGCTTCGATTCGAAGGGTGGTGCTGTTGTTGCCGGTCTGACCGAGGCGGTGTATATGGATATATTGGTGGTTCTGATGTTGCAGAGGCGCCGTGTTACTTTGGCGGTATGTGTGGTATCGACCGGGCAAGGATTGGTTGGGTGCTCCAATAAGCTTCTCTAGGTGAAGCCTGAAGTAACATGTATAAACCTGGTCAAGTGCAGGCGCCCAGCGCGGACTTGAGATTGTTTCCATCGATCAGCATCTGTCCGACGCCGTACTGCCCCGCTGGATATTCTATGACACGCCCGGTCGTAGCAGCATTCATTGTGCACAAGCAGCCAGCTTCTTTTCCATTGCGAGTCTTGATTAATATTGGCGGCGGTGCAGGTGCAGGTTCGATGAGACGAGTCTCCGCAGGCACTGGGCAGACAGGAGCAGCAAAGGATTCGGAAGCGGGCAGAGTAGTGCAATTGAGCATGTCACTGTCGTGATATTGCTCTATGCATATATATCCTTCTTGCTATTCAATAATAATGTCCCCTATCTGTTGCCATGTGGGCTTTGCACCTCATCATCAGGCAATGGCAATAATAATGGCAATTGGCTATGCCGCGCCGTGCACCCCGGCCACGATGCCTGCTGATCACGAAGGCATAATCTTAAGCCTTAAGCTCACCTGTGGTATTCTAGACCGTAGGCACCGGGGTGACAATCACGCTCCAGGACAGAAGAGCAGGCATCCGCGCAGAAGAATGAATGATGCCACGCGTTGACATCGACCGCACGAATGATCGCCCACCATCATGCCGCCGGATTCTGCTTTGAGGGAGATTGACCTTTCCGCATCCAATCTTTGCTCACTATGGCGTCGCCTCCGCTGTGGACTCGGCAGCGGAGCCAGCGATGGCCAGGAGCGTCGCGAGAAACAGCGGTGGCGCCCCGTACACTCCTCAGCTTTCGAGTATGAGCCTCTGGGAGATGCCAATGAAATTCGCCTGGTGTTCATCAGGAAGTCGAATTTCACCGGCGAATGGCAGCTGGCTTATCACATAGTCCACGCCCGCATCGACTCGGACTACACCGCTGTCTCCTATACCTGGGGTGATCCCAATCGCAGTCGCTGGATCCATTGCAACCAAAAGCTGATCCGAGTCCCTCTCAATTGCGAAGACCTTCTCAAGTCGCTGGCCGACGCAGATATCCCGGGGCCATTCTGGATCGATGCGCTTTCCATAGATATGGACAACATTGAGGAGCGGAACGAGCAAGCCGGACGAATAGCAGATATCTTCATCAAAGCCAGCCGCACCGTCGTCTATCTGGGCAGGCACGATTCGCATTCTGCCAGGGTGGTGCAACTGATGCCAGAAAGCAGCAACGACGATAACTTCATTACGTCCGAGCTGAATCCGGAAGATGAAGATCACGCTCGGAAATTCCTTCAGCGGCCCTGGTTCTCGCGCACATGGGCAATGCAAGAAGTTCTCTTCTCCCGCAACTCCAGAGTACTTGTGGGCGGCGCGGTCATCAGCGATATCAAGCTGCATCCTTCCACAATCGACCTACAGGAACTGCCACTTCTGGCCGCCAGTGTGCACATGACCCTGCCGAATGTCCTGACCACTTTGACGAATCTTGGTCTCGAGTCGCTGTCCAGCAGACAGTGGAAAAGCTTCGAAGAGTGGCAGCTTGGCGTCGGCAGAGGCACGCTCTGCAGCGCGACCTATCAATCTGTTTTCCAAAGCCAAAAGAGCGGCCGCCCTATGCTACCGTTCTATCGCCTTCACGAGCTGATGGAGAAGACTCGTGGACTGCATTGTTTTGATCCTCGAGATCGAATCTTCGCCATGATCTCGCTGTTTCAGAAGCCAATCCCAAAGTTCATCACGCCGGACTACGCCAAGAGCATACCGCAAGTGTACACCGATCTGATGTGGTTCTTCATTCGCCTCGATATCTCAGATGCCCTCAACTCCGCCGGTCCTGTTCGAGGAGACAGTGTGCTGCCCTCTTGGGTCGTTGATTGGAGGCAGCCATTGAAGGAACGACCGATGAAGCGTGATAGTTGGCGAGCCGGTTGGACACCTGGCCACAAGCATATGGTCTCTGCGCGATATGGCAACGTTCTGGCGCTCAGAGGCGTGCAGATTGGCAAGATAGCAGCTGTTGGCACGCAATCAAAGCTTCCAGGCCCTGGCGACCGCTGCTCGATCCAAGATGCATCTGCACAAATAGAGACGTGGAAAGTGGAGTGGCAGTCGATATCACGCAGCGTTCGAGGCGTGCGGTACACATTACAGCAGACCGAGAGAAGAAAGTTCATCCTGCGCCAGGCCAGGGAACTTGAGGGAGACTATCGAACCGACTCTGTAATTGCTGCGTCTGGAAGATCACGGCAATCATCAGAATCAGTTACCGGACGGACTATCGAGAACTATCTGCGTGGCTTCGAGACCAGATTCTATGGCACCGATCAGCTAGCACATCCTTGCATAAATCGCCGCCCCATCATTCTGAACGACGGGTCGCCTGGGTTGGGACCCGCGGCCACCGTGGCGAGCGATGAAGTTTGCGTCTTTCTTGGCGTTCCGACGCCATTTGTGGTGCGACCTCTCGGAGACAAATGGTATATTGTCGGTCAGTGCCTAGTTGAGGGAATCATGCATGGCGAGGCTGTCAAAGATGTCGATTGGGATTCGGTCAGCCGGCCAGTGCCGAAAGCTCCGCTGCATGACTTCTTCATCCATTGAGACTGAAAGGTAATCATCCCTGCGCGGTAGATGGTTGGTGTCTTACAGAATACCCAGGGGTTGCGTGGCGTTCAGGTTCACATGCCAAGCTGGTCTTGGAAGCTTTACACTCATTGCATGGTTTGGTAAACGATACATGTTGACTTCTCGCAAATACATCATCAGGATCTATACGCATCGCATCCCTGTCAATTCCAACTCGCGGCGAAATCGAATGCGTCTCCCTGGCGCGAGTTCCGGGCTCTAGAGGCCCCCACTACTCAAGTCGTAGACGCAGATGGCTAAGGTACAGCCTTGCCATTCGCATTTCCTTAAGATTCTCCAGCATTGCATCAAGTCGCGCAGTCGCCAGACTGCAAGTGATCAAAACCGTTTCGACAGTTGCGCTCCGGCACACGACAACCAAGGACATGGGTCTGAATGGACGCATTACTTTTGATTTAGGCTTCCGGGTCTACCACCGTCAGGGAAACTTCGATCGTTACAGCCGCATCGCATATGCATGTGAACGTCCCGTCCTGTATTGTGAGATCCGAGTATGACATGGACTGCAGAGGCACTGCATGCATGCATGCTTCATGCTTTCTCTGCCCTACCGACGCCGAAAGAAATGTTTGTGTTTACTGATCAAGAATTTCGCCCAACACTCGCATTCATAACCGCTAATATCAATCTACTCAAAGGAAAAAAAAAATCCTCCCCCAAAGAGCGTAATCTATCACCTCACACCATCTCAGCCACAGACTTAATCTTAAAAGGTCCAAATCTCAACCTCCCACCCGCAGCCGCAGCCTTACTCTTCATTCCCGCAACCGTCGAAACCGCACCCCCCAGAAACCCTCCTTTCTCCTTCTCCTTCTCCCTCTCCCTCTCCTTCTGCAATTTATGAATCCGACTTTGCTTATGCAGCAGCAGCCGTTCCTCTCCAAAATCCCACCCTCCCCCCCGTCCCTTAGCAGCAGCAGCAGCAGTAAACGTATCCCCACCATTCTGAACCCTCAACCAAGACCCCAAATCCTCCAAATCCGCACACGCCGCATGAATCAACTGCCACGTCGACCTCACACTTCGTTTCCCGATCCTCGTCGTTGCGACGTGTCTGTAATCCACAGCCCCGCCATCTACTAAAGGTTTCCATCGCATACTATAGAATCTCGACAGGTGGGACGCGTGAGAAGTTTTCGGCGCGAGGAGTTCATCGGGTTCGTCTTGGAATTTTTGGCGGAGGAGGTTTTCGGTTGTCCAGAGGCTTTGCAGGGATTGGGCGCTTACGCCGGAGTGGAGGGTGGTGAGGTTTATGTAGGTTCCGGAGAGGATGGCGATGTCTGAAGGAAGGGATGGATGAATGGATTAGTTTGTTTGTTGGTGGTTGGGGGGGGGGGTTTAGATGCCGAACTCACCTCTCCAAGTTGGTGGGCCTAGAGTTACGATTCCGCTGCCTTGTTCGATGGTATCGATGAATCGGCGAACGCAATGTTCAAGTGGACTGTCCGCTACGTCGGCGTAGATATCTGGAGTGGATCTTTTCGCTTCGTAGCGTGCTTGATCGTGAGCTTTGGCGCTGAGATGGATCTTCTGTCTCAAACGAATGACTGTGACACAGGCTAGAGACAGTAAGATGCATATGTATTCTGCCGCGAGTTCGAAGAGGTGTTGATCAAGCAGGAAAGGTCCCGAGAGCTGTTCCCAAAAAATCGTCACTCGCGCTGCTGAGGGCACTTTCTTTGCTAGATCAGTGACTTCTCGGATTGCTGTGGATAGAGCGATGGCGAGCTGGTCTTTGGTTTTGTCGAGGACGAAGAACTCGAACCAATTCGGAACGCAGAAAGTTTTGCCGGTTGCTTTTGCTTGGTGGATGGATCGTAGGAAGAGCATGCGAGGCTCATTTTGAGGCTCGTTTGCTGGATGCTCCATACGTTGGCGATATTGGAAGCAGACGGAGTGGAGCTGTCGACCTCCATTCCTTTGCGGATTTGTATCACCATTTTATCGAACTTCGATACCAACCTTGTGATGGATGGCATCACTGGGCAGGATGTTACGACTGCAGAAGCCGGACGCCGAGGCAGGGCGCGAATGGAATCGGCCTAGCCAAGATATGTATGTTCCTGCAGCTCACGATCTTGCTGTCAAGGGCACTTGGGACACATGTTGCGTGAGGTTCTCTCCCGATCCGAATGTGATTTGCTGCCCTAGAGCCGGAAGTTTGGAGGCTTGTGAGAGATTTACCAGGGCCAGTTATCATCAAATGGGCGTGGGGTGGTCTACGGGCGAGGTTAGTAGGTTACAGGTTATGAGATGCTTGCTGTGCGTGGCGGTGTTCGGCCAGGATGGATCCTTGTCTGCTTTCAATAGCGCGTCAGCTAAGCCAGCGTGTAGGAACAAATAAAACTTCCTGCTTTCAAGCTTTGCTCGATATGTGCGTATGCATAGAATAGCTAGCTGCATCATTGCATGCTCCGCAGATCACGAGGTAGATCTGTGAGACGGTAGATCTTTCACGCCCGATCCAGGCAGCTGGCTTGGTGGTAAGTCGCGAATCTAGGACCACTAGTCGGAAACCTAGATGTGACTCGATAGAATAGTTGTGTAATCATTTTGAGTGGAGATGTTTAGAATATTAGCAAAAAAGTCGCGTAGAGGCCTTCGAGTTGCTACGATTTCCGACTACGAATGCACCTGATCATTCGGGCCATTTCCTTTTCCCAAGCATCGATATGCCCATTGTAAATCTCAGCCGCTTTAACGACTTCCGCAGCCTCCGCCTGACAACAAAGAGTCGCAGCTGGCTTCCCGGGGACCATGTTGAAAAGATCTTTGACGAAGTCATAGGCCAAGCTGTCGTAGTCTTCTGGTATCTGTCGAGTGTGGACCTGACGCAGGAACTCCAAAGCATCAACCGCGACCACCTCTTCTTTAGTGTCTTTCGTAACGAATGCGTACCGGAATTTGTTGCCTATGCCTCTTTTAAAATCTCCCACTGGTTTGGGGCCGAAAGGATCCTTAGGATCATTGTCCAAAATGTTCTTGAAGCCTTGCGCCGAGGTTCCCACGCATATTAGAAGAGACCACGAGCCCATCTCGATGGCTTTTGCCTTGGCGAGCGGTTCAATGCAATGCTGCAGCGGCTGGATTGCACATAGGAAGCGTGCAGTTCTGCTGGCAGTGGCCAGACATGACCTTTGCGCTGGGTAGTGTCAGTATAGCCTGACAGAAGCTGCAGTGCATCTCGACTTACATCAACCGTCAGAGCCTTTGCTACACCTGCTACCCTCGGTGCGTAGACCATAGGCGATGAAAAATTAATCTTTACATCGTTCAAAATTTTGTGCAATGCGCCAGGCAAGATCGCAATGAGTTCCGCTAATGGCAGCACGGCGTCTGCAAGGGGTAGTGGTAGAATCCGTGCGCCACCTTTGTTATCGTCATAGGGTGAGACCTCCCTGATCGCCTCCGACCAGACCACGCCGCCATCCTGCAGATGGGTGATCTTGGTGCCAAAACCCGAGTGTGCGTAGAGAATCTGTACCAGCGGGCTTCGAGCGCGTGGCTTGAATTCCAGTAGCGGATTGAGCTCTGAAAGCCGTTAGCTGTATTCTGAGGCAAAGCAGAGATGGTAGAATACCCTCCGAGTTGTTAAACATGTTCTCCGCATCCACGGCTTCTCGAAAGAAGCTCGGGTGGGTCAATGTTAGAGCTGGTTGGCTCATTGCCACAGCATACGCCTCTTCCCCCGAGATGCTCTTCGTGTATCCAAGATGGAGGCTGTCGATTCGATGTCGTTGTATGAGACCAACGATATGTTCCGTGGTCAGATCCCTCATGCACGGCAGAGTAAGGTGCAGCTGTCTGGGGCGGTCTTGGTCGATTTGCTTCAGCAAGTTCTCGAGCATCTGGCTTGTCAGTCCATGGAAATAGGTGAGATCGGTCTCGTTATGGCCGCGTGTGGCGAGTGCAAATAGCACCATACCAGAGGACTCAAAAATTAGGCCAGGTTTGTCATGCAACGCTTTTATGATGCGCTCGTGAAGGTCCGGTAGCAATCGTGCTTCATTTAGCCACGAGAGGTCATTCGGATCACTTTTCCAGGCTCTGTTGAGTACTTCAGCAAAGCTTTTCTCTCTCAACGACTGAAGCTGACGAGCTGAGTCTCCTAATGCAGCGTCATGAGCATTGTCGTTCTGACCAATCTCGAAAGGCTCGCCAGGCCACGCGCTCAGCAACGCTGCTGTTGGTATCATCGGCGTCAAAGTCCATGGGTCTGAGCTCAGACGAGAGCTCAGACGGAGGCTTTCGTCCAACAGATCTGGCATCGATTTCACATACGCGGCAAGATACTGCGCTGCGTTTAGCGCAATATTCGGTCGCGGCCCCATGTTTCTATTTGCCACACCCTCATCGTTGCCATCTTCCCCGTCGCCTCGTTCATCATCGGAGGACTCTGCACAGCATGGGACATTTTCCGGCGTGAAGAAGAAACAGTACCGTGGCTGATCAGGCTTGCTGACATCGAAAACAGTAAACCCATCGTTATTATCGCATTGGCTCGGAGCGATCGAGAGCGGCAGAGGATGAATCCAAGCAGAGTATCCTTCTCCCTTTCCGGAAGCGCCAACAGAGAGAATGCTAGCGAGTATAGGAAAGGCAGTTATCTTGTGCTTATTTTCGTCCTAGGAAGCTAGCTATCAGACTCATAGTGATCGATAGCGCGCTCCTGTGTTGGCGATGATGAAGAGTTGATGTCGCTGTCCCATCGTGGTTGCTAGTTCTCCTTCACCGGTGCGATATCTCAGAAGATCGTATTGACCAGCGAAGAGTGCCGATGATGGGCCATCGCCAGCTTCAGAATGCTGCCACCTTGCATATACTGTATATATGACTTGGCCTGGTCACCAACATAATCGCTCGCAGCAGAGGAGGTGAGCGGATGAGATGGTTGTGAGGATTTCCAAGTCGAGTTCGCTTCGCCTCAGCAAACGCGCCTTCTGGCCATATCCCATGCTCAGGACGACTTGGCGCTATGGAAGTCCGGATATCACGTTAAGGAGGAAGATGGAGTCACAAGAGAGACACATTTTCGAGAAGGGGCAGCGCGAGAACAAGGTTCGTTACTGGAAAGCTTGTCGAACAGCAGAGCAGAGCCTCGTTCTGCGAGGCGCAGGCAATCCTTCTCACGACAACATGCTTTGGAGCGCGTCTGAGACCAGAGCGGCGGCTCTAGCTAGAAGCCATGCACGCCCCGATGGTAAGGGAGTATATCACTCCGCCGTAGAATGCGCTATGTCGCTCCCAAAGTCCACACAATAGCATCGCGCGACCGTTCGTAACACATTGACCTCTCCAGCCATGGCAGATACAGATACAGCAGTCGAGCCACCACCAAGCTACTCCTCCCTACCTCCCTCACAACCATCCCAACCTCTACCTTCTTCAACCCCAAGCCTACCAGAACGAACCGGAACCCACGAATACCACCTCCAACGCGTCGCCCCCCACAGCCTCGGCCTACAAATCCTCCACAACTCCACCGTCCTCTACTACCTAGCCTCCTACCAAGCCCAAAACACCCCCGACCTAATCCTCTACGCCGGCTACGACTCCAAAGGCCCTCAACTCGCCCTCGCAAAGTTCGAAAACTCCACCAAAAACTTCAAAACCTACATCGGAGGCCAAAAGTCCCCTGCAGGCGACGACTGGGACACGGTGCGCTGTGCAGAAGAGGACGGATTTTCCTTCTTCTTCTCCTTCTTCAAAAATCCCATGTTTCGCTTCGAGGTTCCAAAAATAAAACAGAAATTCTATTGGCAGAAAACTCGCGAATCTACACTCGGGGCTTCGAGATTTTCGCCTCGGGATTATAAATTGGTTGAGGAAGGGAATGACGGGGTTGTGGCGGTGTATTTGGAGAGGAAGTTTGGGGAGGGGGTGGTGAAGTGGAGGGTGAAGGTGAGTGAGGTGGCGGAGATGCAGGCTTTGATGGTTTTGCTGGGGTTGTTGGAGAAGTCGAGACGGTATATGAAGTCGGTGAAGAGGGCTTTTCCGAATACGAATGGTTGGTGAACTTTGTAGAGCTGGTTGATGTTCACAGCCATGGATTAATCGCGGTCCATAATCCATTCTCGCTTTTGACTACTTCTGTCGCTTCCTCGTGATCTTAGGCGTAGATAACTTAATGCTATTCAGCACAACAACTACACGAGAAATAGAAGTCAGCATCATCTCATCTCCCCAAAAAATCCTTTCGCAACACTTACTCGCAAACAAACACAACGTAACCGTCGGCAAAACCCAAGCCCCCCTCACAAAACTCTCCATCGCCCCAGGAGTCTCCAACGTACACGACACCAACGCAAGTCCCAGTCCCACAACCCCCATAAACACCAACCTCACCCAAAACAGCCTCGTCTTCGACCCCCGATTCAAAGCCGCAAGCACCGCACCAAAAACCACAAACGCGCCCACACTCGTAAAAAAATACCCAAACGTCACCCGAAACCACGACGAAAGATTTCCCTAGATTCTCGTACGCTTGGTCCATCCAATATCCTTCATCGAATTTCGTGAAATCGAGGGAATCGCCGAGATATGTGACGGTTTGATTGATTTCGTCGGTGGTTTCGGGGGGATAGAAACCGGCGATTTTGAAGGTGGTTTGGTAGAGAACTCCCGTGAGCCACCAGAAGGCGTTGCCTGCGGTTTCCGGGGCGTTTGTGCCGTTGAGGATGGCGGGGACGGCGGCGATTTGGCTTTGGCCGGAGTAGGCTAGGGTTTGGAGGATGCTGAGGGTACCTGAGGAGCGTTCGAGGGCGATGTCAAAGAGGGTGTTGGCGGTTGTGTTCAGGTCGATGGCGGCGTTCTTCCAGTCTGTGGCGGTGGGATTGCCTCCGGCTGTGTGGTTGAGGATGGGGACCCAGTGCTCGACTTGGTGGACTAGGACGTTGCCGCGACGGATGGCGGCGTTCCATGTTATGCATTGTGCGGCACCTTCTACGGCGAGGACTAGAGCGACGTGGAGGGGGAAGTGCAGGACTGAGCAGAGTTGTTGGCGGATGATTCCGAATTCTTCTTCTTGGATCCAGTCGAAGTAGAGCATGTAGAGGAAATGGAGGTTGATGACTGCGCAGAAGATCTCGCCTGCTACGGAGCCTGTGAAGGAGAATGTGCCTTCGGAGAAGGTGACGTATTGACAGGATTTGGCGATGCCGATTGCGCCTTCGCCGAGGATGATGAGAGTGAGCAGGGACATGCGTTCGTGGAGGTGAGTGCCTTGAAAGCTCAGACTTCGCCAGGTGTTGCCACAATACACACCAATAGCCACTGATCATCAATATTCTCCACCTGCAAAATCTCAGCAGCGATCGGGAAAGCCAGATGGCCTCTCTTCGCTTCAGAGAAATAGCTCTGTATCGCAGTCTGCGTGCTCCCAATATTGAAAGTTTCAGGGTCAGGATCATTCTTCGCAATCGCTCTTAGATCATCAATCATACGCCAACCTCCGTAAGGCCAAGATACGGTGACTCGGGCTTGGTGGTGTTCGTCCTCTAATCTGGTGCTTGTGGGCGGTCCTTCGAGTAGAGACATTCGATGACCATGGAAGCATCTCCGCCATCGTTTGAAGCCCCGAGGCATTTCAAAATCTTTGTACATGCGGTGAAAGCATTTCACACACATGTCAAAGTGTCCGTCTGAGCACTCATAGCAGTGAAGACGAGACTCTCCTGGCAGAATCTCGTTTTGGCAGGTGTCGCAGTAGTGCCAGGTCGGCAGAAGGATGTACCTGTCGCTCGCGAGATGAGGTGACTGCTTTGCGTATGGAGCTTCCTTGGGCTTCTCGCAATATTTCTCCTGCTGAATGGGGAATAGCTCATGACTGCAGTGTCTTCCCTTCTGTACACATCTGTCGCAGAAGCCCCAGCCTCCGCCGAAGCAAGTCTTGCAATTCCAGTAGCTCTCGCCGCAGAAATCCAGGCAAGACTCGCAGAACGCTCCATCTTGCAGTTGCCAGCCCTCGGACCCTGCTACACAGTCGTCTTCAGTGGTCTGTATATACTTGCGCGCAGAGAGAGTGTGTGGAGACCCGACTTTGGGTGGTCTCGGTTTGGAGGTTGATTCCATCTGGACAGCCTTGAGCTGATATTGTTCCTCACGCTCCTGCAGTTCGCGTTTTCTTGCATTACGGAAGTCCCTCCAGTTATGACAACCGCGTCCATTCCGATAACATTGAATACAGATGTTGTAGGTACCATCCTCACACTTGGCACAGTGATAATGGAGGGTTGTCGCTATGTCTTTCGCGGAGCATTTGTCACCGTTGATAATTGGTGGTGGACGACGCTTGCGATCACCGTGGATGTATGTGTAGTCTATAGCAATGTGAATGTTTACGTAGGTCGATGTATTCTTCAGTACTCACTGTCTCCGAAGTGTCCTTTGGAGGAGCCATCTAATGAGTTCCCGACATATGTACTGCCGCCGCCACTTTTTGGGCCGCCACTCATGTTTTTCGTTTAGACGACACAGAAACAGCATCACGTCGTGTGAAATCCCGCGAACGAAGGACATGTATACTATGTGCCGGCTTATTCTTGTCAGTTGGTGCGGGGAGAGCCCTACACCTCCGAGAGAGGCTTAGCGAGCAAACACACAGCTATTTTCTACCAAAATCTACTCTCTAGTCCTCTTTATAAAGCCTAGAATTCTCTAGTAGATCGTGTCGTCGATAATCTAGTAGTATAGACCCTTCCAAGGTGTTGTTAGCAGTTATAGTTAAGAAAGCTCGTATTAACGACGACTAGCAAGGCTAACTAATTAACCTCTTTAATAAAGGCTTTACTACTAAGCAAATACATAGCTTTGCTAAGCTACTATTGTCTGTCCGCTCTATATATCGATATTAATAGAAATGGCGGCTATTTAGCACCCTATATACTAACAATATAGATACGTAATACCGTAGACGGAAGGAAGCCCTCCTTACTATTAAGGTAGACTTCCTACTATCGTTTCTCGACGACCGGCCGGACGCCTACTTTATAGAGATGATCTAAGCTCTTTAAGACGAGTTTGTAAGGCTACGCCCTACAAATAATAGCGGAAGTAGTAAGATTAAGCTTCGACCTACTCTAATTAGTAGGGTATTAAAAAGGAATAAATATACGCGGAAGGACGTTAAGCGGTAAGCGAAGGAGCGTAACCTACTGCTAAGGGCTCTATAGACGATTAGGTACGTAAAATAGCCGGTAGATCGATTAGTATTTATCGATAAGACTACTAGCAATTAGAAGATAGGTTAGCGGAAGTATAGATAGTCTCTAAGAGGTATAACCTATATCGATGTATAGTATACTAAGAGGGAGGTGCGTTAGTTAGTGCTGCTAGCTTTTACGATTTATAGATACTTGCCGTATACCTATATATACTAAGGATCGATTAATAGTGACCGCTTCTATACCTGGATTACTAAGCAGGTGTTGCCGTGCCTCGAAGATAGTCCGCCGATAATATTTGTTATAGATAATGCTAGTATCTATTATAGATTGAGGATTAAACAGGTAATACTTAACGCTAGACACCGACTCGAGTACTTACCGCCGTATTCGCCGGATTTGAATCCTATCGAAGGTAGCTTTAACCTGCTAAAGAAGACGATTAAAAGGCATAGAAACTAGCAGCCGAAGTTCTTTAGCTTCTAGGACTACTTACTATATTGTCTCTACCGATATAGAGGCCGCCGTACGCGTACGCTCTTCGCTTTTGCTAGTTATAACGTCGAAGGGGTAGATTTGCCGTACGATGCTTCCTAATTCGAGTCGACGGCTAGTAACGCTTAAAATATAATAGCGCTCGACCTAGAAGAATCCTAATAGATATAGTAGGTTTAGAACAACGAGCCGTCGGTGCTTAACGACGTAGAAGCGCTGTGTTTATTATATAAGGAAGATAACGAGGAAGAAGTAGAAGAAGAGGTAGATTTTAACGATTTCGAGTAATATAATTAGGTAGACTAGCGCGCGGCAAGCGCCGAAGCGCAGAGGTATAAAGAATGTATACGAACGCTAGCCTTGCCTATTACTTATATTATACTATAACTAACGTATTATATTAATTAATTACATATAGGCTAAATAAGTGCTATTACCGTAGAAATCTCCCGCTTATTACAAGTTTGTATATATTGTAGTTATGCAAAGAAAGGTATAGGAAGGAAGCTAAGATTCTTAAAAGTTCTCTCCTTCTTTAGTAGCGGCTGCTTCCGCCGCTATAACTTTATCCTGTTTCTTCCTTATAAACTCGATAATAGCTTTCTTTAGTCTTAACCGCATACTATCTACTTAGTTAAGTGCCGCCGGCTAGTCGTCCTTTGTTAGGTTATAGATAGTCTCTAGCGTCTATCCTATACCGACGAAATAGGCGATATAAGGCCGTAAATAGTTATAATCCTAGAAATCGCGGTAAAGGGCAACCTAGTCGAAGAATTCTACCGTTAGCTTCTCGTACTAAACGATATTACGTAGCAGTCTAGTATTACGCAAACTAGTCTTAACTAGAGCTCGAATAGGTGTCCGACTTAGTATACTAGCAATAAGGCTACTGCCGCGCAGTTTACTGTCTAGAATGCGACTAAAGTCCTTACTAAAGTTGTTATAGATAATCGGCTGAATTCTACTACTTCTAACGGCTAGTTTACGAGGCGAGTCGTCCTCGTTACTACTACGGCGGTAACCTCTTATCTTCCGGATAGCACTCTTCTATAAATCATTCTCGACCTTCCTCTTTATTAGCTTAATTTCTAACCTTACCGGCAACCTATCCTCGAGAGCGCCGGTTTGCTTATTAACCTTCTATTTACTAGAAGCGATCGCTTTATAACCCTCAATTATAGCCGCCTCGAAGAATAGAAAGTAGTTCTTACTATAGTCCTTTAGCTTCCGGTTACGCTAGCACGTATACTTACTAGCCTTCTAGAAGTTCTTATAGTCCTTTATCGTATATAGGAAGTCGCGGATAATCTAATAGTCGTAGCGCTTCTAAGTCTCGAGTTTAGCTATTACAACGCCGGCGTTAGTAAGCTAAACAGAGGTTAGATTAGAAGCCGGCTTCTTACTAACTAGTATAGCCGCTACTGCCTTAGGTTTAATATAGAAGTCTATATCTACGAAGACATTCTTCCGCTTAGCAAGCACGAGTGCTTCCGCCTTATCTAGCGCTATTTAATATACCTTATCGCTTTCAATCTTATTACCTGCTTAATACTAGTCGCCGTTAAAGGCTAACTTCTACGTATCCGTACTAGCTCGAAGAACTACCCTCTACGGCCGCTAATAACCTTGCAACTAAGCCGCCTTCGCCGCCTACGAATAGCTATTCTAACCCTCCTCTTTACGAGCTATAATAAACGTTATAGGCTTACTTACTAACTGTCGAGCGGCGCCCTTCTTTACTATATTAAATAACGTCCATTGTCCGCTATAATAGAAGACCTTATATTTAAAAGAGCTTAGAGTAGTAACTAGTACGTTACTAGCAGCGAGGGCAGCCGCGTTGCTAGTAGTAGTAGCGGCCTCCTACTTAGCATTAAAAAAGGAGGTAATAGAAGTAGCAATAGAGGAAGATATACCTAAATTAGGCAGTAAAGCCTCCGCCGGTACTACTACGGTCTCCTTACTTAGTAGTACCGAGGGACTGTCGATTAGATTAGGCTCTTCTACGGCAGTCGCTTTACCCTTCTTACCGCCGCTAGACCGACTCGCGGAGCTACTCTTTTAACTCGTTATACTCGTACTACTACCTCTTATTAGCGGCGGACTTATTAGCTTATCGAGAAGCTCTATTACCTTCTTCTTTAAGGCTATCTATTAGTCTAATCGCACTAGAGCCTTACTAGTAGTCGTACGAGTCGGTCTTAGTGCTATTGTTGCTATATAGCTCTTAGAAACGGTTAGAATACGCGTACGAGGCTTGAAATACGATTATTCTCTATTTAACGATTATAAGTAGGAAGAAACACCTAATTCTATATACAAATCCACCCCTAGACTCCTAAGCTAACCAAATTAGGAGAGGAGAGGCTCTGCGGGCCGTACTGACAAGAATAAGCCGGCACATAGTACTGTGCACGACCTCAGCCTCCACCATCGGCTGCTGTGCAACCCGGGTAAGCCCGAGCTGCAACATTGTCTTGGCAGCATTATGCAGGCAATATCAAAACTTGGGCTGGACCTTCTGTCTCTTAGAACTATTGCACTCGCGGTAGCATACGCTCGAACCATTGAGCTATCGAAGGGACCTGAGAACACCTTGAAGGCAGTAGGCCCGCTCGTCCTAGTACTTCCGTCCATGACTTGATCTCGTGAATCCTCTGCCCGAAGAGTATCTCAGCGGCCTGGTCCTTCTCAGATAATGGCGAGCCATCCAGTGCGACTCCATTGATGGCACCATATCGGACAGAAATGTCCAGAGACTGCTCGCGAGCAAGAGCAGCATCAGCACTGATTGTGAATTGTGGCGTTTGAAGGTACATCCAATCCAGTGACTGCGAACTTGTCAGTGACCGTTATTAAGCGCTTATCCATATGCATTTGACGCACCTTCAGCTCATCGTAGCCCTGCTTGACATTTCCGTCCTCAAGCCACTCATCTCCAACTGCGAATGCCTCCTCGCCGGGAGATAGCCCGTACTCCTCGGCAAAGCGCGCTTGCACAGCACCAACGAAATCTTCATTGCTCAACAGAATATTGCCAACAGGGGAGCTGACACTTTCAACACCACGCGCAGTCATGAAGGGTTTTGCGGGCGAGTGCAAGTAATCCGGGATGACGTTGAGGTTGGGACTGTTTAGCAAGCATGTGCCGTGGTGCAGCGCTCGCTTCCCGGTCAGTTTGTATGCAGAACCAGACACCTTCAATGGTCGAGGGGTGTCGAAATCTGTTGCTTCATACGGAGTGCTGTGCGTATCGTTAGGGTCTGTATCAGGGCCACGCTGACCCTGGTCCATCACAATATCATGTCGTGCATTGACTCTGGCTCTATCAATGCCGCGGCTACGGAGTGCTCTCACGACCATTTCTGCGTGCTTGTCACGCGTGAAAGATGACGAAGGACAGATGACTGTCCAGTTGACATTCCCTTCGTCGTGAAAGACGGTGCCGCCTCCACTGCGCCTGCGCACCAAGTCGACAGCCCCAATTCCAGGTGGCTCGGTTGGCAGGGCTTGCCGACCAGCGTGGAGGAGGGCCAGATTGACCTCGAGCCATGGGTTCTGGTTTCGTCCGATGATGACGCTGGGCCTGTTGACGTAGAGAAAGAGCACTGCCGAGTCAGGCGGAGACTTCTGAAGCAGGTGGTGCTCTATGGAAAGGTTCAAGTACGGGTCACGCGAGGTGGAGATGTAGGTCTGCAGAGGCTGGCCCAGTCGGTGCAGGGCAGATTGTGAGAGACATGTCGTCGTCGCCAGTGGTTGCCTCTGTATGCTGATGGCTCGTGGGCTCCTGCATGCACGCTGCCGTAGAATCATTTAAGCTTGAGCCTCAGCCATGCTATGAGGATTAGAGTTGAGGCTCGAGGCTCGACTGGATGATTTGGCAAGTGCAAGTGCGCAGAGTTTCAGGAGGTGCGAGGGTGCGTGTTTCCGCGGGCCGCCTTCCGCTTTGGCCTTGGCCTTGGCGTGGTTGTGGCGCGCCGTGCGAGGGAGCAAATCAGGTAGAGCAGAGGGCGAGCAGCGACAACGATGGAGGAAGCAGGGATGCGACAGGTGCAGCAGCAGCGACGTAGACGCTATATAGCGCACATGTCGCACGGGCAGAAGGATGTAGACAAGGATGCTCGCCGCGTCGGAGGAGTGGGAGTGTCTGGGCGGAAGCGGGAGTGGGACAATGATTATGCTTTCTGCGCTGGAGCCGATGGAGCCATGCAGGAACCCGCCGCCGTCGCCGCCGAAGCCTTCTTCGCTGCCACTCCATAGTAATCTGCAGAGTGCTCAGGGCCCCCTCGGCCACGCTGCTACTCACACCACCCTGCTCCATGTGCAACTTCGCCTTCGCCATCGCCATCGCCATGTCCCACGCCTCCCGCTCCCTCCCCAGCTGCTGATCTGCAATTCCGCCCCGCTGCCACGTCTCCGAGAACATGCGCATGCCACGACGATGGGAGACCCCGCGCCGTCGACCAGCAGCACCGCTCCGCCGAAAGCGCCCATGACAAATGCCGAATTGGTCGCCTTTGTGACCAAGGAGCTGGAGCAGGATGACGAGCGCCAGGCCAAAGTGCAGGCGGCCGCTGCCGCTTGTGACATCCCGAATGCCACCCAGACTGGCAGCACGCTCGATCTCAGTCACAAGAACATCAGCGTGCTGCCCGCCGAGGTCGTGCTATTGATCAAGGATCGCGTCGAGAGGTTTGTGGCCTGGTACAAATGTGGGAGGTGCGAATGTGTGCTGATGTAGGACAGGCTCGCCCTCTCACACAACCCGCGCATATCATTACCACCAGCAATATCGCAGTGCGATCGCTTGCGCTATCTCAATTTGCGATGGAACAAGCTGAGACACTTTCCCGAAGCGGTATGACGAAATTCAGCCTGACGAGGCTCACGAGAAGCAAGGGCTGGGCTGATGTGTGATTAGGTGCTCTCGCTGTCGAAACTGGAGATCCTGGACATCAGCAAGAACCAGATCGATGTCATACCCGAGGACATCAAGAAAATGGCCAACCTCAAATTCCTGGCCGTCGCGAGAAACCAAATACGCCGATTGCCACTGGCCTTGGGTGAGATGAATCTGGTGAAGCTGAAGTTCGACGAGAACCCTATCGAGTTCCCTCCGCCGGAGGTTCTCAAGCCATCTACTGATCGATCATTGATTGAGTCGGAGAAGGACAAAGACATGTGCCAGCAGGTCAAACGATTCATGAAGGCTACTGCGCTTAGGGAGCGATTGAGAGCAAGTTCGGATGAAGACATGAGGTATGGCATGTTCTTGCTGGTGCTATGTCGTACGGCCTGCTGACCGCGATCCTAGAGATAGTACTGTCGAAACACCCCGCCCGCCAAAGCCTGGTCGCATGGGTGGTCGCTTTCCCGTGAGGCCCAGCATCAGTGGTATCGAGAACATTGAGAGTCTGAAATCCGACTCTCCGCCTGAACCACCTCCCATACCTCAGAGATCTCACGCTCGAGGCTTGTCATCAAATAGCCAAACATTCATCAAGCGACCTGGAATTGCGCCTTTACTCACTGGAGCTCAGGATCCACACAGAACTCGCAGTGAGACAGTCGGCAGTTCTGCTAATATACGAAACAGGAGGCAAGGCTATGTGCCGCGAAAGAATGCGAAAATGAACTCTTTGAGCGAGATGCAATCGCAGCTGTCGGCGAGATCTAGCGCAGCACCCACTCTCACGCCGCCACACTCCCGCGCACCAAGCGTGACCTCAAATTACAACGGCTACCTGAGTGCTGGGGGTGAGAGTTCATCTGGTGCAATCAGTCCCATTGACGGTCCTGTTAGCCGGGCAATGCTGTCGCGAAAGCTCTCCAGCTTGCCCGAAAGTCGAAACTCGCGGCTGCCAACAATCAACGCCATTAAGGCTGTGAGGCGTGTACTATTCATGCTATTCTATCTACATCGACCTATCGCCGACATTGCTCAGCAGCTTGGTAGCGGAACGCCTCGGAGGTCGACGCTGGAACGCCAAGTGTTCAGCGCAAATGCTCAAATCGACGAGCTTGATCGTCTCCTCAACAATGCCAACAACATTATGGAAGACAACATGGAAGTGGACTCAGCAATGCTGGTGGCCATCGTTCGAGCAGCCATCACCGCACTTCGCATGCATGTCTTTGTTGTGAAGGAGCTGAATCGAAATCGACAGCAGATAGTGAAGCGGGTCGACGCTTTCCATGTCCGATGTGTTATCAATTCAGCGTATACAACAATGCTGGAAGCACAGAATGTCTGCCATATGCTGGGCTTCGAGACCAAGCCAGCAGATCGGCGCAACACACTCCGCATCTCACAGGGCCCTTGGAGCAGTCGGACAGTCACACCTACCCAGCCCAAACCATCTGGCAGCCGCAGACGAGGCGCCACCATCCTACCTTCCACAAGCAGTGTGACAAATTACCGGGGCATGGTACCACCAGTGCCACTGCACTCGAATGGCAGTAGAAGCAACACCATGACCTCGGTCAGCACTGCTGCTACACCTCGCTGGAATCAGTCATTCCCGGACCTCGCAACCCAAATGTCGAGAAGTAATACCATGCGCAGCGTGCTTACCGAGACAGATGGCGAGGACAACAGCGATAGACTGTACTTCAAGCTGAAAGCGTGCTGCGACCTGGCATACTCGACGCTCCCTCTTGTTCGCGATGATCTTCTCAATCGCAAGACGAAGGAAGACCGGAGCGGGCACTTGAGCATCAGCAGAATGTACGCGAATGCTGTCAACAAATGTGACTTCGCCATCGCCACGAACAACAAGCTGCTTGCAAGGCTGAAAGTAATGAAACTTGGCGATCCTGCCAGGTATGCTGGCGAGTTCAAGAACATGGCCGAAACCTTCACCAAAGACTGGGCGCACTTCGCCGAAGAGGTTATGGCACTTGCTCGAGAAGGCCTTGACATTGGTAACATCAAGCACCAACTCAAGCCGCTTCAGGGCGCGGTCAGAGACGTCACACGAACCGCACAGCAAAGCTCGCCGCCATCGACGAAGCCGCCTCCATCAGCATCCCTCGTTGGCGGCTTTCCTCCACCGCTGAACACCGCCCTTGCCCAGCAGAGCATGGTACCTGGTCCGCCTACAGGAATTCCCGTGCCAGCGACACCTATTGGGGCAGCATTAGGTCCGGCAGTTCAAGCGATTGTCCCACCAACACCTACGACTTCATTCAACAGTGCAGAATACAGCTTCCCACCGCCACCTCCTCTACCGACGGGCGGATCGAATGCAAGCACAGCGAGCTTGACAAGTCTCAGCAGTCGAACGCGGGCAGGCGAGACGAACCCGACATCTTATCCCAGGAGATAATCAACTCTCACATTCTGAAAGCGCGCCAGGAGCGCCGCATCGACTACTAGTAGTACTCACATATTGTACCCTTTTTCGCAATGCCATAGCTACGAGATAATACTGACACGGCCGAGATAAGCATGAAGCAATGTACTTGTAATGATTGAGTATCAAAAAGAACAACGCATGTAAAAGTTAATGTGGAGCTTTGTGTTGGAAGAAACTAAAGCCGGCAGACAGAAGGGCGCAATGTGTTCACACCAAAAACAATATGATCATGGATGGAGATATGAGAAAGCAGGCGAGCACGTTAGGGTTCGTCTTTGGTGTCTTGTTTTCACGTTGTAGCCATAGCCACAACGATGGGAGTAGCAGTATCAACGACAATGATTCCAGCATGATATGTGCCTTCTTTTGACCGCCATGATCTCTTCCTCCCTGCGTGAATACCATCTTCCAAGTATCGCATTTCTCCTTATCATGAGCTGTTCTTTTCGTCGTAGGTATCTTCGCAGAACATGCATCGCCGCAGTCCACAATTCCTCCCACTCCCACCCGCTCAAGTGACGATACGCTGCGAATGCGCTTAGTCGAAAAGTCCGAATCCCATATCCTCGTCGGACTCCTCCTTCTCTGTTGAAAAAAAAAACGTCAGTTTTCAAACTCCATCCCGTTTCTGGGGGGTTTTGCGTAAACACATACCTTCCTCCTTCTCCTCCTTCGCAGCCTCAGCAGCCGGCGCCGCATCCCCACCAGCCGCCGCACCAGCACCTCCGGCAGCTGCAGGCGCAGCACCACCTCCGGAACCCACGTTCGTCAACAAATCCTTGACATCTTTGCCCTCGAGGGCTTTGGCGAAGAGGGATGTCCAGATTGGTTCGACATCGGGGACTTTTGCGGCGGAGATGAGGGTTTGGAGTTTGTCGGCCTGGAGGGGAGAGAGTGTTAGTGACTTGCGCGAGGTGTATGGATGGGAATACTATCGCTGCGCTCTAGTGTGAGGCGGAACGTACGGTGATCTCGAGACCCTCATCGGCGAGGATGAGGGCTGCGTAAGAGGAGGCGAGTTCTGCGGTTGACATTTTTTGGGTGTTGTTGGTGATGTTGTTTGGTACTGGAATGCTCAGACGAACGAGGTCGGCAGAGTCTTCTTTCCGAGCGAGGATGGTAGTGGTAGAGAATTCGAGGTGTGGTGACTTTCGGTGATCTCGAAATGGGGACCGCCGCACGCCCACACAGGAAATAATTGCTTGGCAAAGACGGGAAGTTTCGGAAGTAGCCGAGGTTGGGGCCTGAGGTTGGAATCGTTTCTGGTGAGATGCTGCGCACGAAATGGATGTGGCGAGTGCTGGTCAGAACTTGTCACTGCAAACAAATAGTAGTAGTGAGAGTGAGAGCCAAAGGAGATTGAAAGTGAGGCAGAAATGACACAATCCATACTGTTCGCCTGGCAAATTTTCATACACTTGATTCTTCCCTCGCGAGTACTTATCCACAATCACACATCTCAAGTCATGCTCATGCCCAAAAAGTGGTCAGACTACCACCAGCCGTTAAGTTTCAACTCTGTCGTGCCTGTATGTGAAACGCCGCAGGACGCCATGCATCGGAAAATCCAAGCGTCAAACACTTCCCCCTTCTCCTACTCGCCTCTTGTCCTCGTTCTGGTCAGGCCCATACTAGTAATGGCTTGGTTTGCACCAGGATTTGAGTCCAGATCAATGTCTTCCTCGATTCCGTCGACTTTGAAGTTGACACTCTTATCATCTCTAGTCGTCCTGTTCCCGACACCATTGACCTCTTCTGGGTCGGGCAGCGGTTCGTGTTGCTTCTGGGCTCGCTCGTCGGATTCATTCCGCAGCTCGTATGCCAGATCGAAGCACTCTGCCAACAAAGCCGAGACTGAGCCCTGTCCTTCAGGGATGTCGTTACCAATCATGAATTTGCCGTCTTTTTTCATGTTGTCGATGGATGTCAGCTTCATCGAATATGGATACAGCTCGCGCGGACTATCAACGCCGCCGTTCTTCTTGACTTCCACCAGACATCTCTTGAGTGTAAGAAGCTGGTTGTAGATAGGGAGGAGTGCTTCCGAGACGGGTTCGGAGGAGATGATGTATTGGTAGATGTAAGCGTAGGACTTGCGCAGGAGGTAGAGGAGAGTTCGCTGAGCGTAGAGATCAGCTGGCTTTCCTTCCGCATCGACAAAGTTGCCGTTCACACGCGAATCGTCAATACGGTCGAGCTGTCGCTGGAAGTCGTAAAGATCGGTCTCGCGTAAGCTCCACGCCATGGTGAGATTCATCTGGTCAAGACTGTTCTTGATCTTGAGCAGCTTGTCGAAGTGCTCTTTGAAACGTTCATCGATCTTGCCTTGCTTCTGCTGGATGATCTCAACCCATAGCAGGCAGCGTGCAAGAAGAGACTGAACAACGAAGTTGGGATCCTGGTGGCAGTTCTCGCATTTGTTCATGAGCTCAAGTCGCTCGGCGTAGACTTCTTGTGCGGTCTTGCCTTTGTGGTCGTCGTGAGTAAGCTTGAGCTTGGATTCTATCTCAAGAAGCTGCCTCTCGAATTCCTTGACTTCCTTGGTAGGGAACTTTACGGAACGTCAGCATGCGCAAACATGTTGCAAATATTGGTGCCCTTACCCTCGACCTCGTGTTGCACGCGCTTAAGCTTCTCAGAATACTGACCAAAGTCTCATAGGTCTTCATTTGTCCGGCTTCTAAGACGCCCAGAGGCTCTTCAAGCTCACGTAATTTGGCCTTGGCCACTTTGATTCTTGCCTCAAGTAGGGTCAGAAGGTGAGGGCTGTACTCATCTTGCCCTCTCTCGATGGTATGCTCCCATTTGTCCAGATTCTGGCTTATGCTCTCTAGATCTTTGGGAAGATAGAATCCAGCTTCTTTCAGGTGATTCAGCAGCCTGTCTACTGTTGATACGCACGAGTAGATTGCCGGCGCCTCTCGATTGCGACCAATGGTCAGGAAGAAAAGTGATATCAAACGGAAACAGTCATCCAAGACGGTATCGACTCTGTTCTGCTCATCGCGCTTGTTCTCGCGAATGCGGTTCAGCAGCTCAACCTGCTCTACCAGCGCATTATAGTGCTTGACAACATCTGCGCTCTTGACATATGTCGATCGGTCCTGCTTGAGGAGGGATAGGTGGTCGCGGATGATCAGAACTCGGTCCAAGATCGGCTGTTCTTTCGGGTCGAGCGGTATGCGCTGGAATGGTGAGTCGGTCATAGTGGGTGCAAAGATACGTTGTCGGAGGTGTCGGAGAGGAAGCTGAGGTTATCGGAAAATAATGTTTCGTGGCATAGGCAAAAGCGAGGTAGAAATGCTGATTAGTGAGGAGAATGAGGCACTTCGGGGATGCAGCACTAAATATTATTGCCTGCGCAGAGATCCAGCAGATTCCAGAGCAGAGACGCAGGGTACCACAAGCTACGTAGAGTTGCTACCTCGCCGGTAAGCGAACGAATGTCCCCGCCCTCATTCACTCGTGACTCGTGACACTGCTCCGCACTTGCCTCTGCTCTGTCAGCACGATGACGGGCTGGTCGTCGGCGCGGATGTTGCCGAAATGCCGACCTCGCCTGCACATCTTACTTCCATCACATATTCTCATCGCTCGCAAATACGTTCCACAGCCGCAAGTCCACTCACCGAAAAGCCTGGAACATTTCGAACATTGACCGAAGAGATCTTTCTAACAATATCGAATTCGCTGCCCTCTTTTTCTCCACCCCCGTCATGCTTCGACTCTATGAAGTCGTCCTTGCAGAGCCGCACAATATTGCAACAGTTCCAGATGGTGAGCACCGACGTTAAGGTGATGATCGCAGCGAGAGCCAAGCCGACAGAAATGGGCCCACATAAATTGGTATAAAAATCTTGGTGGAAAGCTGGTAAGCATTAAAGTCTCTGAACCCAAACGAGATTTCGATTTTCAGATTTATATCTATATACCCATCATTAATTTGAAATTGAGAATATCACTTACACTCAGACTAATCATCGCCTCTCAACCACAAAGATCGATATCACACAACTTATACTGTCAACTCGCATCCTCAACCAACTTCGCAGTATAATTGGGCAAAATGGCAGACACAAGAGTCGCCAAGTTAGGCCAGAACGACAAACCCAACACGCGCAAGAATTTTACACTCCAGAGTTCCACGGCTCCAGCGACCTGGCAATCCTTTTAGCATGTGAGCAAGCCCTTCCCGGAGTCCGTGCCATCTGCAAAGCCTAAAATCTCTACAATAAGCACCCCGAAGCCTAGACACCGCATGAACACAGATCTGCACGATATCACGGCTATAGCGACCTGGCAATTCTTCTAGCATGTGAGCAACGCCTTCCCGGAGCCCGTACCATCTGCAAAGCACAAAACCTACACAACAAGCATCCCGAAGCCTAGATACTACACGAATACAGATCTCCACGATACTACGGCTTCAGCGACTTAGGAATTTTCTTAGGCTGTGAGCAAGGCATCACAGAGTCTCGAAGCGCCTGCAAAATTTCCGGTTTCCACGACAGACATCCACAAACCGACGACGACGACGACATCATCATCACCAGCAAATTCATCTTAACGAAACCAACCCATCGCATCGAAATCTCAAATTCTCGCAGGAAGGACGAACTCGGAGAAGAAGAAGAAGCGAAGAAGTACTTCATTTCTTAGAACTTCCCATTGAACTTCGATGACAAATTTACGAATATATGATCCCAGAAAATTGGAATTTACATCTTCGCAATCAAAAAAGAAATTTTCATCTTCCCTGGTCACAATAGTCCCGCCGGAACACATCACGAATCCTCGAGATTGAAAAGAATTTCTTCGATTTCATGGGCTTCGAATTCAAAGATTTTTATATTTTGGGAGCCTGCGGTGCTGAGGACTTCGAGATTGGTTCGGGAAGAAGCTCTGGAGATTTTCTGAGAAGTGGAAGGGGCTAGGAGTTGAGATGTCTCTGGAATTTGGATGGAGATTTTCTGGTTTTCGGAATGAGGAAGGGGGTTTTTTTTGAGGTTTGTTTCAGCGGATCTTACGTTCGGATCTGGAAACGAGGCGGCAGATGGAAAGGTTTTGGTATTGAGATGTTCGGTGAGAATTGGCTGTCTACCAGAGCCAGAGAATCTGCTTGTCAAGTGGCTATCTCGTCCCTCTCTGCACCGCATCAAGGGAGAAATTATGATTGTCTGGCTAACGACCAATTTCTTCCTTCCCACCTTATCCATCCCCGCAAGCATTCCACTAAGTCGGTACATCCCATTTTGGATCGGTGCTAAGACATCTTCGCTCTTCAACGCATCGTCCTGCGCGGTTACATCGCGGGCATGGATCTCCAGGTCTGAGTCCGTCGAAAATTGGATCTGGCGACCCGAGAATTACGGGACCGATCGATGTTCGACGCATTCTGGGTCCTTTGAGATGATGTGTTGCCGTGAGAGATGGAGGGAATTTCTGCTTTGCTCGATTCGGACAAGGTTGATTAGGGTCTTGGAATGGTGTTGTTCTGGTTTGAGCCTTGACGAGACCTGCTCGTTGCCGTGGTGTGGTGTTGAAGTAGAATTCGCTGGTGACAGAGGTTGTATGAAGGTCTTCGCGTCCTGCTCGTTGCCGTCGTGTGGTGGTGTCGAATTGGAATGTGCTGGGAAAGGAGTTTATCTGAAGATCTTCGAGTCCTGCTCGATGTTGTGATTGAGAAGAGGATGTTGTGTGATAGAAGGCAGGAAGTTAGAGAGAATTCGTCGGCTTTATAATTGCAATTCTGCTGTGAACTGGTCTGCTCCATTCTTGGTGTCCGTCGTGGCGTATGTTTGTGTTATGGTAAGACTTCCCAATATAGTATCACAGCGTGCGTGTCTCAGCCACAGACTGGCCTTGTCGTAGAACCGCGTCTGAGATGGACTCAAACGAAGTCCTCTTGCGGCCGGGCTATACTTCCAAGGTAGGACGGGGTTCGGCCAGGATTGTCTGGACTGGCAATGGACGAACAGGAAATGCACTCTTCTGTATAGTGGACAGGATTGTGCTACGATCGTATAATCAAAAGCAATGCAACTAGAACGAAGCACAAGAAGTAGACAGAAAAGTCATGCAAGTGTCTGCCTATTCTAAGACTGTCGGCCTTCGCTCTAGCTCTTGGATTTCACAGCCTGTTTCAAGTTTACGCGAATGATCCTGCTTCGGGATCTGTCAAGACAGCAAAAGACGCCCACCCGAGCAGCCTGGTGACGGCGGCCACGGTGACCGGTGTCAACCCTTTGTCGTGTCTTCCTGGAGTGATTGAAGGCTAGAAAACTTCTTGTATACTGCATACCAAGTCCATGCGGCTGCACCTCAGCCGTGTCCGACCCACTTGTTTCGGAGCCGAATTCCGAACCCTTAAAGTGTCTTGCTCTGGCATCTCCAGATCCTAAAAAAGCAATTCAAGTTCGTGGCGCTCGAACGTGGCTGTCGAATTCCACAAGAAGCGGAGAGTGCTCCGTGGACCACGCACAGTCTTTGATGGATCGATTATAGTCGAGTTTCTGGAGCCTGATGGCATCGATGCATCGTAAGACAGTCTGCACCGCCAGTGGGATGCCAATGCTAAACCCAGTGAAGAGTTCTCATCAAGACAACAATCAAAGCTGGTCATCCACTGTTAGAGAAGGGCAAGAAGCATCCCATAGTAGGTCACTTCATCCGAGCGTCTTCAACGGCTGACCGTTCCGGCAAGAGTCCTCCGCTTCATGTGCACTTCGACCAAAGCGAGTCTTTCAAAGTGCTTTCTGGGAAATTTGGTCTCACAACAGGCTACGAGCAGACCGATCTCATCTTGACTCCTGAAAGCGAGGTGCAGCATGTTCCGCCGATGCAGCCTCACTATCCTTGGGTCGTGGCCAATACCAGTGGAGAAGACACGGTGATACTGGTGTGGGCCCATCCGACAAGTGTGCCAAAGGCCATGGATGATGAGTTCTTTGAGACGATATTCATGCATGTCAGTCAGGCGTTCGAGGAAGGGAAAATGCCAAATTTGCTGCAGGTCATGCTAAGCCAGTAAGAAGATGATGTGACTGAGAGATGGCGGTCTGCTCTGCTGACGAATTGATGAACAGGCACGAGACAAACTCATGTGGCGTGATCTTCCCGAGTGCCTGGTGGCTTGGCGACTTGAGATGGTGGATTCCGTGGAAGCTAGAAGGTGCGTTGGCTGCGGTCGCGAGACTGATGGGATACAAGCCGATGTTGGAGAAGGTCGACAAGCAGAAGTAGTCAACATTCTGAGTGGCATTGGCATTGTATTCGTTTTCTCGGAGAACTCAGAACGAGTTCGATCGGTCTCTGACCATGCCACCTCCACCGTACAGAAGCAGCATATTCGCCGCGAAGATTGCGAGCAGGCAGTATGTCATGTTTTCTTCACGAGTCGTCTCGAGTGTTGCTGCCCAGGACATGCGCTTCCCTACGCTCGCCCGTGATGGTAGGTGTCTTCATCACTCTTCCTGTGCCCACGAGGTGCAACATGTTACGCCACCGTACGCTGTGAGTTGGCATCTCTTTCGAGCAGCGATGTAGTTGACGTGAGGGAGGAGAGATTTGCCAGGCGTGATGGAGAAAAGAGAAAATGCCAAGACCTGGCCCGTGCCACTTCCTTATATCCGGAACTTTACTCTAAGCACGCCATAGTCGAGACCCCTGCCACTTCTATTGAAATATGGCCTTCCCTTCTACGAGTGCTATACCATTTCAACTCTTGTGGTGTTTGCAGTGGGGAGTATCATTCTTGGCGATCTTGCATTGGAGACTGAAAAAGTCAGCCCCCAGCTTGCTTGTAGTGTGGGTTGAGTCCTTGATACAGGACGCTTCGCTGGAAAACCTTCGTTTGTTGTCTTCCCACAGGACATACAGCACACATCTTCCGCTCTGGCTCCCTAGGCAAAAGCAGACGCGAAAATTAGTCCGTCATGGAGGCAATTCCATATCCCGACGCCAAACTGCGTCGTATCCTATCGACGGTACGCACGATCGCCATTGTCGGTGCATCCAGCAATTGGAACCGTCCTAGCTACTTCGTTATGAAGTATTTGCAGCGCAAAGGCTACCGTGTGATACCTGTCAACCCCGGGAATGCTGGGAAAGAATTACTCGGTGAGACCGTGTACGCAAACTTGCGAGACGTCCCAGACAAGGTCGATATGGTCAACGTGTTTCGGGCGTCGCACTCGGTCAGTCCCATCGTGGAGGATGCAATCGCCGTGGGGGTCAGCGTGGTCTGGATGCAGCTCGGTGTCCGCAACGACGAAGCCGCCGCAAAAGGCGAGGCAGCAGGCATCGAAGTGATTATGAATCGCTGTCCGAAAATCGAATTCGGTCGTCTGGGTGGCGAATTGTCCTGGGGTGGCGTCAACTCTGGCATCATTCGTAACAAGGCCGCGCAGGCGCCGACCGATCGCCTGAAGCGCCCTCTGCCAGCGGCCAACATTGAATATGGCTTCGAAACACGCGCAATTCACGCTGGCGCTGCACCAGACCCAAGTACTGGAGCTCGTGGCACCCCGATCTACCAGACCACCGCCTATGTCTTTGACGATGTCGATCACGCTGCGTCGCTGTTCAACCTGCACAACTTTGGCTTCATCTACAGTCGACTGACTAATCCAACTGTTTCCGTGCTGGAGGAACGTGTCGCCAGTCTAGAAGGAGGCCGCGCTGCCGTCGCCGCAGCCTCGGGACATGCCGCGCAATTCCTGGTCTTTGCGACAATGCTGGAGCCAGGCGATGAGTTCCTGGCCTCAAGCAAGCTTTACGGCGGCTCGCTCACCCAATTCGGGCTTTCGTTCAAGAAGCTGGGCTGGCACTGCCATTTTGTAGACCCTACCGACCCAGAGAATTTCCGGCGCAGCCTCACGCCCAAATGCAAGGCTATCTTCATCGAGAGCCTGGCCAATCCCGGCGGCATCATTTCTGATATTGCTGCCATCGCTGAAATCGCCCATTCCGCTGGCCTGCCGTTGATCGTCGACAACACGCTCGCCACTCCTTACCTGTGCCGGCCTATCGAATGGGGAGCGGACATCGTCGTCCATTCCACCACCAAATTTCTCGGCGGTCATGGAAATGCAATGGGCGGTATCGTTGTTGAGTCGGGCAAATTCGATTGGACCCAGGGGGATAAATTTCCATCTATGACCGAGCCCGAACCTGCGTATCACGGCCTACGCTTTTACGAAAATTTTGGCGATTTTGCCTTCACCACCAAGGCCCGCGCAGTTGCACTACGCGATTACGGTCCAACACTGGCGCCGATGAATGCCTTTTTGACGATCACAGGCATCGAAACGCTGCACCTGCGCATGGAGCGACACTGCAGCAACGCGCAAGCGGTCGCAGAATACCTCGCTCGTGATCCGCGCGTCGCCTGGGTATCCTACGCCGGCCTCGAAACCAGCCCTTACCGAGCATTGGCGAAGAAATACCTTCCGAAAGGCTCAGGATCCGTGTTCACGTTTGGCGTCAAGGGCGGTTACGAAACAGGCTGTAAAATCGTCGAGAGCGTCAATTTATTCTCCCATCTCGCCAATGTTGGCGACACGCGCAGCTTAATTTTGCATCCTGCATCGACTACACACCGGCAACTCAGCGACGAGCAGCGCGAAGCTGCGGGTGCCGGGCCTGATGTGATTCGCTTGTCGATTGGTTTGGAAACTGCGGACGACTTGATTGCCGATCTGGATAGAGCGTTGGGATAAATTCTCTTGCGCCTTGCAAGTGGCAAAACAGTTAGAATATGCATACTCAATACTATCACGTGTAGTCTAAAGATGCGCTTATACAAATCCTTTATCCTACTAGGCCTCTAATTGGAAGGAAAAGAAAACAAACTTACGTGCAGGCAATCTAATTAGAAGAAATCGTAAAAAAAGAAGGATTAGCCTAAATACCTATAAGATAATTATTAGGTACCTAATTAGAACGGTAGATAGGAAGACGGTAGACAGGCACTAAATTCTAACGGTTCTTCTACTTAGCTCTACCCTAGAGTAACTAATGCCTAATTATTATAGTACTAGTGTTTATGTAGCTCGAAGAGCTACAAGTAAAGGCCGAAGAGCTACAAGTAAAGGCTAAGGCGACGAGCGGGGTAGGGTAAGCTAGATTCTAGAAGATTCTACGGCGGCTGTTGCCGTACCGCGCTAGGTAACAAGGCGGAAATCGTTACAAATCGCACTTTTTAAATCGCGCGCCTTTCTAACAACAACTTTAGGTATTAGAAAACACTATTTAGAAACGCTTATAGTAAGTACTATTAGAAACGCTTATAGTAAGATAGTCTAAAATATCTAAAGTAACTACTTCCGGAATACGCCTATAGCAATTACTATCCGGAATACCTATAGCGAGTACTATTCGAAATATCTATAGTAGATAGTTCTTTCTAAGTAGGAACGCTTATAGTAAGTACTATCTATAAGGCGTATAGTAAGTCTAATCTAAAACGCCTAAAGTAGTTTTAATCTGAAATACTTACAGGAATTCTAATTCAGAATACTTACAATACTAAGTACTATTCAGAACGCGTACAGCAACTCTAATCGGGAGCGCTAATAGTTAGTACTACTATCTATAACGCTTATACTAAGTTTTATTTAGAACACGCCACACAGTAATTCTAATCGGAAACGTATACACCAAGTCCTATCCGGAACGCGTATAGTAAGTACTATCCGGAACGCGTATAGTAAGTACTATCCGGAACGCGTATAGAAAGTCTAATTCGGAACGCTAATAGTAAGTACTATTAAGAACGCTTATAGTAAGTAGTACTATCTAAAATACCTATAGTAAGCACTATCCAGAATACTTATAGCAAGTTATATCCGAAACGGTTATAGTAAATACTACTAAAAACGTTTATAGCGAGTACCCTATATAACGCCTACTACGAGTACCCTATAAAATGCCTATAGCGAGTACTCTATAGAATATCTATAGCGAGTAGTACTATCCGGAACGCGTAGGATAAGCCTTATTTTAAACGCTTAGTATAGTTAGTTCTATATAGACCGGAACGTTTCGAACTGTTTATAGTAAGTACCTTATATAACGCCTACTACGAGTACCTTATAAAACGCCTATAGTAAGCACTCTATAGAATATCTATAGCGAGTAGTACTATCCGGAACGCGTAGGATAAGCCTTATTTTAAACGCTTAGTATAGTTAGTCCTACATAAACCGGAACGCGTATACTAAGTCTAATCTAAAACGCTTATAGAAAATCTTATCCGGAATATATAAAGTAAGTCTAAGTCTAATCTAAAACTAAATACTTATATTAACTACTACGAACTATTTATAGCGAGTACCCTATATAGCGCCTACTACGAGTACCCTATAAAACGCCTATAGCGAGTACTCTATAGAATATCTATAGCGTACTACTATCTAAAATACCTATAGTAAGTACTATTTAGAGTACTTATAGCAAGTTATATCCGAAACACTTATAGTAAATACTACTAAAAACGGTTATAGCGAGTAGTAGTATTCGAAACGCTTATAGCGGTTACTATCCGAGATATCTATAGCGAGTAGTACTATCCGGAACGCTTTAGAACGCGCTATATAGCAATTCTAATCCGAAATGCTTATACTAAGTCCTATCTAAAACGCGTATAGTAAGTACTATCCGGAACGCGTATAGTAAGTCTAATTTAGAACGCTAATAGTAAGTACTATTAAGAACGCTTAGGCTTATAGCAAGTAGTACTATCTAAAATACCTATAGTAAGTACTATTTAGAATACTTATAGCAAGTTGTATCCGAAACGCTTATAGTAGATACTACTAAAAATGCTTATAGCGAGTAGCAATATTTGAAACGCTTATAGCGGTAACTATCCGAGATATCTATAGCAAATAGTACTATCTAGAACGCTTATAGTAAGTCTAATCTAAAACGCTTATAGAAAGTCTTATCTTAAATATATAAAGTAAGTCTAAGTGTAATCCAGAACTAAATACTTATATTAAGTACTATCCGGATTCCGGAAGGCTTATAGCGAGTAGTACTATCCGGAACGCTTATAGTAAATACTATCTAAAGTGCCTATAGTAAATAGTATTCGAACTGTTTATAGCGATTACCCTATAAAACGCCTATAGCGAGTACTCTATAGAATATCTATAGCGTACTGCTGTCTACAACGCCTATACTAAGTTTTATTTAGAACGCGCTATATAGTAATTCTAATCTAAAACGCTTATAGAAACTCTTATCCGGAATATATAAAGTAAGTCTAAGTCTAATCCGAAACTAAATGCTTTTATTAAGTACTATCCGGAAGGCTTATAGCGAGTAGTACTATCCGGAACGCTTATAGTAAATACTATCTAAAACGCCTATAGTTAAATAGTATTCGCACTATTTATAGCAAGTACCTTATATAACGCCTCCTACGAGTACCCTATTAAACGCCTATAGCGAGTACCCTATAGAATATCTATAGCGAGTAGTACTATCCGGAACGCTTATAGTAAATACTATCGAAAACGCCTATATTCGAACTACCTATAGCGAGTAACCTATATAACCTCTACTACGAGTATCTTATAAAACGCCTATAGTAAGCACTCTATAGAATATCTATAGCGAGTAGTACTATCCGGAACGTATAAGACCCTATAAAACGCCTATAGCGTACTACTATTTATAGCCTATACTAATTTTTTAATTTTATTTAGAACGCGCTATATAGTAATTCTAATCCGAAACGCTTGTACTAAGTCTTATCCGAAACGCGTATAGTAAGTCTAATTCGGAACGCTAATAGTAAGTACTATTAAGAACGCTTATAGCAAGTATGTACTAAGTCTTATCCGGAACGCGTATAGTAAGTCTAACTCGGAACGCTAATAGTAAGTACTATTAAGAACGCTTATAGCAAGTAGTACTATCTAAAATACTAATAGTAAGCACTATTTAGAATACTTACAGCAAGTTATATCCGAAACGCTTATAGTAAATACTACTAAAAACGCTTATAGCGAGTAGCAATATTTGAAACGCTTATAGCGGTAACTATCCGAGGTATCTATAGCAAATAGTACTATCCGGAACGCTTATAGTAAACACTATCTAAAACGCCTATATTCGAACTACTTATAGCGAGTACCCTCTATAACGCCTACTACAAGTACCTTATAAAACGCCTATAGCGAGTACTCTATAGAATACCTATAGCGAGCAGTACTACCCGGAACGCGTAGGATAAGCCTTATTTTAAACGCTTAGTATAGTTAGTCCTATATAAACCGGAACGTATATAGCAAGTCTTATCCGAAACTAAATACCTATATTAAGTACTATCCGGAAGGCTTATAGCGAGTAGTACTATCCGGAACGCTTATAGTAAATACTATCTAAAACGCCTATAGTAAATAGTATTCGAACTACCTATAGCGAGTACCCTATATAACGCCTACTACGAGTATCCTATAGGACGCCTATAGCGAGTACTCTATAGAATATCTATAATACTAAGAATAAGTCTAATTTAGAACGCTTATAATACTAAGTACTATTCGGAACGTACATAGTAAGTCTAATCCGGAGCGCTAATAGTTAGTACTACTATCTATAACGCTTATACTAAGTTTTATTTAAAACGCGCTATATAGTAATTCTAATCTAAACGCTTATACTAAGTCTTATCCGGAACGCGTATAGTAAGTCTAACTCGGAACGCTAATAGTAAGTACTATTAAGAACGCTTATAGCAAGTAGTACTATCTAAAATACTAATAGTAAGCACTATTTAGAATACTTATAGCAAGTTATATCCGAAACGCTTATAGTAAATACTACTAAAAACGCTTATAGCGAGTAGCAATATTTGAAACGCTTATAGCGGTAACTATCCGAGGTATCTATAGCAAATAGTACTATCCGGAACGCTTATAGTAAACACTATCTAAAACGCCTATATTCGAACTACTTATAGCGAGTACCCTCTATAACGCCTACTACGAGTACCTTATAAAACGCCTATAGCGAGTACTCTATAGAATACCTATAGCGAGCAGTACTACCCGGAACGCGTAGGACAAGCTAACTACTATCTATAACGCCTACAGAAAGTCTGATTTAGAACGTTTATAATAGTAACTTAGTAAGTACTATTCGGAACGCGTATAGCAAGTCTAATCCGGAGCGCTAATAGTTAGTACTACTATCTATAACGCTTATACTAAGTTCTATTTAGAACGCGCTATATAGCAATTCTAATCCGAAACGCCTAAACCAAGTCTTATCCGAAACGCGTAGAGTAAGTACTATCCGGAACGCGTATAGTAGGTCTAATTTAGAACGGTAATAGTAAGTACTATTACGAACGCTTATAGTAAGTAGTACTTTCTAAAATACGGTATACCTATAGTAAGTACTATTTAGAATACTTATAGCAAGTTGTATCCGAAACGCTTACAGCAAATACTACCAAAAACGCCTATAGCGAGCAGTAATATTCGAAACGCCTATAGCGGTAACTATCTAAGATATCTATAGCGAGTAGTACTATCCGGAACGCGTAGGACAAGCCTTATTTTAAACGCTTAGTATAGTTCGTCCTATATAAACCGGAACGCGTATAGCAAGTCTAATAATCTAATCCGAAACGCCTATAGAAAGTCTTGTCCGGAATGTATAAAGTAAGTCTAAGTCTAATCCGAAACTAAATACTTATACGAAGCACTATCCGGAAGGCCTATAGCGAGTAGTACTATCCGGAACGCTTATAGCAAATACTATCCAAAACGCCTACAGTTAAATAGCATTCGAACTATCTATAGCGAGTACCCTATATAACGCCTATAGCGAGTACTCTATAGAATATCTATAGCGAGTAGTACTATCCGGAACGCGTAGGATAAGCTAACTATTATCTATAACGCCTATAATAGGTCTAATTTAGAACGCTTATAATACTAAGTACTATTTAGAACGCGTATAGTAAGTCTAATAACTCTAATCCGGAGCGCTAACAGTTAGTACTACTATCTATAACGCCTATACTAAGTTTTATTTAGAACGCGCTATATAGCAATTCTAATCCGAAACGCTTATACTAAGTCTTATCCGGAACGCGTATAGTAAGTCTAATTCGGAACGCAAATAGCAAGTACTATTAAGAACGCTTATAGCAAGTAGTACTATCTAAAATACCTATAGTAAGTCCTATTTAGAATACTTATAGCAAGTCTAATCCGAAACGCTTATAGTAAATACTACTAAAAACGCTTATAGCGAGTAGTAATATTCGAAACGCTTATAGCGGTAACTGTCCGAGATAGCTATAGCGAGTAGTCCTATCCGAAACGCTTATAGCAAATACTATCTAAAACGCCTATAGTTAAATAGGATTCGAACTATTTATAGCGAGTACCTTATCTAACGCCTACTATAAGTACCCTATAAAACGCCTATAGCGAGTAGTACTATCCGGAACGCGTAGGATAAGCCTTTCGAGCCTACCGCTCCGAGTAAATACCGCCGGATTAGGCGCGAACGATACCGCCTTAAGCAAAAAACGCCGCCGGATTAGGCGTAAACGACGGAGACGGCCTCGGAAATACTACTATCGCGGCGCTAGAGCGTTATAGTCGATCCTACGACTCCTACGCCCTCCGGACTGCTCGAGAATCGAGAAATTTTAAAGTTCCTCGCCGCCGACTAATTAGAGTCGGCTTTTCGGTCGTTTTGAGCCGCACTAAGCCTAAAGAGGCCCTAACTTTTGTTAAGTTGTTATATTATAGACTCTCGTCGTAACTCGTAAGCTCCTTAAGTTATTCTAGGTACCTAGACCCTATTAGTCTATCGCTCCGCTCGAATTAACCTATATAAGGAGATAGGCTATTCGAGATTCCTAATATACTAGTTTTATTACTGCTATATTATATCGAGGATAAAGTATTATTTTCCCGAATACGAGTATAGTTATATAGAGCTTATAATCGCTATCGTTCGATCGTTAGTACTTAATATAACTAAACCTATACGTAAGAACACTATACGGTCTATACTAGTTACGTAGATCTCGCTAGTTGCTAAAAGGGAGGAGCTTATAGATATTTGCAAACTATAGAAGGTCTATTAAAGGGACTAAACTATACTAAAAAGATTAAAGAGGATAAGTGTATAGAGACGTGCTCTAGCCTAGGCTATACCGTAGTCGTGTTGTAGGGCAACCCTGCTCGGGGCAATCCGCTCCGGGCTGGGCGCGGGGCGGATACCGGAGCTATAACGGTTTAGGTTAGGTTAGGCTGAAGTAGGAACGGGGCGTCAAACAGCGGAGAAAACACTTCTCCCTTATCGTTACAGCCTGCTCCCCCGACATGAATTTCGTACCATCATGTCGGTCACTTTTATCGGCTCTGTTAAAATCTCGTCGACGCGGCGCTTCCATCGGGTCTCGCGCTGTATTTCCCTTCACCAATCATTCGTCGACAAGATCCGTGTCAATGATAGCACCTCACGGCCACGACTTCCCTAAATTGTCCCCTAGCATCAAAATCGAAGAAGAAACAGTGCCTGGCTACAGAGAAGAGCGCTTTTATCCTGTTCGGCTAGGAGAAGTCTTTCACTCACGTTACAAAGTGCTAGCGAAGTTGGGGTTCGGGACGGCTTCCACTGTTTGGCTCTGTCGAGATCTCGAGCATGCGTCAATCCCCCCAGGCCATGTCTTGAAGTTCAGCTAATGAATTGGGCAGAACAAGTCATTTTTGGGTTCTCAAAGTATGTATTGCACAAGACGACTCCGCTGAAGTCAACAACGAATTGCTCGTTTCTCGGCAGCTAGCAGCTGTCGAAGGTGAACATCCGGGGAGGCAGTGGATCCGCATATGTGACGACGATTTTCAAATTGAAAGTGCTCAAGGCGTGCACCAATGTCTAGTGTTTCGACCTATGGGAATGACCTTCACCGAGTTCCGGAACATGCTACCCGCGAAGGCTTTCGACAAGGAACTGTTACAGCGAACCCTCCATCTCGTAGCGGTGGCGTTGGATTTCTTGCACCAAGCGGGTGTGGTGCACACAGGTTCAAGATCCCCTTTCATCTTCGATAGGCCGATTTCTGACAAAGAGGCAGATCTTTCTCCCAACAATATCCTGCTTGGTATTCACGACTCGGCCATTTTGTCCGACATCGAAAAGGCCGAAATCGAAAACCCCTCTCCCCGAAAGGTACTGCCACACCGTGTTATATATACCTCGCAAGGGATGCCAATAACCTCTGGCGCATTGGCCATCAGCGACTTTGGTGCTGCCAAGATTGGCGCCAATCATAGTGGCGACGTGATGCCTGCCGTATACAGGGCTCCAGAAGTCATTATGAATATGTCGTGGGATTGCAAGATTGACACATGGGCATTCGGAGTTATGGTTTGTAGCCGTCGCCTCTCCCATACAGTCCTCGCCTTCTAACTTTCAGTAGATATGGGACCTTTTTGAGGGTGGTCGACTGTTCAGGGCGATTAAAGACAATGTGATTGACGATGAGGTGCATCTCGCTGAGATGGTGTCGCTTATGGGACCTCCTCCAAAGGAATTCTTGCAGCGGAGTCCAGACTGTAGTCGATACTGGAATTCTGAAGGCATGTACCTCTTCACAGGAAGGACTTCGAGCTAACTCAGAGACAGGACGATGGATTGCGGAGACTCCTATCCCACAACAGTCGCTTGAAACTCGCGAAAGACGACTGGAAGGGAGGGATAAGAAGATGCTGCTCACTCTCGTGCGGAAGATTTTGCGATGGCTTCCAGAAGAGCGAGCGTCAGCATATGACGTGTTCGAGGACGACTTCATCCTTCAATATTTGAGGGAAGACAAGGCTAAGTCGAGATAAGAAATAGATTACGACAGAGCGATACATGTGTCCTAGCTACTCTAGGCAGACATTTGTTCTATGCTCCACCACCAAACTACTTCTATGCGGATCGCCCAATAGCCACCCCTGTTGCAGATAGCGAGGGGAAGACGTGTTCATTTGCCTTTGTACGCGTTGCGCGAGGGAAACTCCTTGAAAGTACCATCTTCGTGGACGTGCACAGTTGTCACACGTGTCCCGGAGGCAGTGTGGTAGCTCACGGTAATTACTTCCTGCAAATCGGATGGATCTTTCTTTGACTTATGGGGCTCAGACCCTCTACGAGCGATTTTGTTAGCGGCAGACACATCTGTAAGCGCGCGGGATTGCTCCTACTGTATCTTGGCATCGGCGACTTTGGGATACTAACGAATAGCCTCAGCTCAAGCCTCGTTGTTTGTGGCATATGACGAAAGAACGACCTTTTCCTCCATCGCTGGAGTAGCGGTTTTGTTTATGACGCCTTGATATCCGGCAGGCACTTGTGCAAGCGCCTACCTCCGTTTAGGCCTTTGTGCATTAAGGATTACGTTCCGCGGTGGTGAATTGGTTCGAATTGCACGTGATAGCATAATTTAGGGTTCATTTGCCGACTTCCGAGCAACCAATCATACACCACTCTACCTAATCCTTTGCCTAAAGGCCTAAAGCCAAACCGCTGATTTTTATCGTAGATTCCGCTATTAAAATACGATCTCGCTATACTAACGACAACTAGCAAATCCAATACGAGGAGGTTGTAGCCCTGCTAATTACGAGTCTAACGATCTAAAAATCCCGTATATGCGACGTATACGCGTTAAGTTATACTAAATCTCGCGACGCGACTTAATATAGCTATCCGGCTACTAATATACACTAAAACACTAACCCCTAAGTCTAGTGTATCTAACACTTAGAGCCCCTTAATTAGTGCTATCCGACTAACTTCTTAGCTATACGTACCTACGCGCGACTTCTTACTATTAAGTTTAAAGTATATAGGGATAGGTAAACGAGTTAGTCGAGAGTAGCAATTTACGTTTATCGATAATAACTTTAGTATTTCTAAAGCGACTAGCTTATTAAAATAGCGGATATTCTTAATCGCTAAATTATCTAGGTCCCGTCTCTATAAAGTACTATACTACGACTAATAGTTATTAAGCTATATAGCCTATTCGATATAAAATCTATAATATAATAACTTAATAAAAGTTAGGGCCCCTTTAGGCTTAGTGCGGCTTAAAACGGGCTAACCGCGGCCTCTAATTAGTAGACGCGAGGAACGTTAATACCTTAGCGATTCGGAAGGGCGTAGACGTCGTAGTATATACCGCGACGAGCTATAACTTCGATAGTAGTCTCGAAAAGGGCGTCTTCGTCGTATATACCTTATCCGGCGGTATTTACTCGAAGCGGTATACTCGATCGCGCTAGTAGCCTTACGGGAAGCGTAATTTAGTATATATAACTAGTACCGAGGCCCTACTATCGCGAGCTCCGCTATCGGGGTCTTATAAATACGACACTATCGACCCTCTTAGTCGCTATCGTAGCTCTATCGACCTCTATAGCCTTCGAGAAGCTATACGAAATTGCGGTATTCTTCGCTCGTAAGTCTTAAGGAAGGCGCGCGTCGTATATGCGACTATAGTAGCCGCGTATAACGCGCCTACATCCGGAGATATAACGACTTTAGTAGGCGCGCGGTTATTAATTACTACTATAACAACCTAATATCGCGATCGACTATTATAGACTCTACTAGAACCGACCTCGATCTAACTCCTCTAGCCGCTAGGTACTTATTCGCGTCGTACTAGTATAGATCTAACGAGGGCCCGCTACTAACTACCTATCGCAGTCTCTCGAGGCCTACCGCAATACTCGCGAAGACGTACGCTTAAGATTATAGTCTTAAAGGGTCCGAGGTATAGAAAGCTATAGTAAGTAGTATAGTAGCGGTCGTACTCCGATATAGTAGCTAACAATTCTAGTACGAGGAGGTTTACGGTACTCGGTAGGAATTACCGTAAGAGTCGGTAGTTTTCTTTACGAAGATATAGTAAGACTCGCTACTACTTAGCCCGCTATAGAGGATTCTCGATCTATAGCGGTTCGGCTTATTTCCTTCGTTTAGTATCGTCTCTCGGAAGCTAGACCTTAAGTAGATATTCGAATCGTAGCTAGTAGAAGGATCGACTATCGCGAAGCCTCTTAAGGTGTTTTATATCGCTACTAGCCTTTTCTATAACGACGTCGCCGATAAGGCGGCTATAAAGGTCCTCGAGATCTAGTATTAATTCGATACGATATCCGGCTATAGTATTAGCGTCGCCTTACTCTTAGAGAGTGCTACTCGCGATTAGGAATAGACGGTATAGCTCCCGGCCCTATTTAGCGATAAGTACGCTAAGATAACCTACTTCTTAGACTATTTCCGGCTCCTCCGTAATAGTATAGGCTTCGACTAGGTAGCGACGCGGAGTTGTCTCTTAACTATATACAGCGCTCCCGTCCGGCGAAAGCCTTCCTTATTATTATTCGGTCTCGCCCTACTAGAGGAGTATCGTAGCGAGTCGAGCGTTATAATAAACTAAGGCGCGGGTAATCGTAGTATAGAGCGTAGGGGAGAATATAGTATTTAGGGAGATTACGGAAGGAAATCTACGATAATCTTAGTACATTTGTTATAATTTTTAGCGTGCTATCTGCTTAACGGACATCTTTTTATATCCCTCGATACGATATAAATTTATAGCTCTAGAAGATATATCTTACTAGATTATACTACTAGAGGTAGACGACGCGCTCCTTTGCCTTAACTCGAGTCCTTAACGACTTCGTTCGTATTAATACCTCCCTAGCGACGATACCGACGTTATAGTAGTAGGATCTAAGCTAGAGTAGTAAGCGTAAGGTCGAGTGTTCGTCGTCGCGTCGCGAGAGGCTATTATTATTATCGCAGGTCGCTTTATATCGTCGCTTTATATCGTCGCTTTATATCTATTAGCTAGTATAGACTTAGCGTGCGGCGACGGTTACGTATATAAACAGTAATATTGCGGCGTTACGCGTCGTCTAAATATTACTACTATAATAACTAATATAGCGACTACTTTTACGTAGCTATATCTACCTCCTTCTAGTTGTCGATATTACTAGTAGCGACCTCGATAAAGGCGCCCCTCCTATACGGTCTTAGCTACTATAGCCCTCCCTAATAGTAAGTCTCTAGCGTATCGGTAGCTATACGCTACCTTCGCTAATATCGAGCTATAGAGATAGACGTTCTACGTAGTATACCGTAGCGAGCCTTTTAATATTAGGAATTAAATCGCGCTATAGCCGAGATTAAGCACCCCCGCGCTTCTATACGACTTCGCTAATAGCTCGCTATAGGCCGGGCCCCGGTATATTAAGAAGCGCTATAAGACATATATAAGCTAGTTACTAAGGAGGTATTACGCCGCGTACGCGAGAACCGTAATATAGACAAGAATAACGGCTTCTCTCCTAAACCTCCGTACTATAGCGTTGTAGATTACTAGCCGTCTAGGCATATATCGAGATTAGTATCTCTAGTTATAAATAAGATCTACTAGTAGACGGAGTCTCGGGACGAAGAATACGTAGTACGTATTCTCGTATATCGTCTAGTATATAGTAGTAGAAAGCTAACTCCTATAGATCTCTATACCTAAGTAGTCGTAGGACAAGTACCTAGACGGTAACCTTAACGTTGTTACTACTTAGGCGTAACGGAAAGAGCAAATAGAAGGGTCTATTATCTACGTTAATTTATATACAAATACTAATAGGCTCGACGAACTCGACGAGTTCGAGCCGAGACTATACCTCTAAAAGTCTAACTCGCTATTTCCTCGGCATTATCGCTAGGTATATCCGTCGCGTACCCTAAGAATATAGCGCTTTTACTAACCGGTTCTAGATCGAATTCGCGTAGATAAAGCTTGCTACTATATAGCCGTTCGGTATAGATCGCTTCGTCGTCGTTCCTCTATACGCGTATCCTACTATAACGAGCCGAATAGATAGCACCTTCGTATAGAGGGTTCTAGTTAGGTACGACCTACGGTTGTTAGAGGAAATCTGTCTTCCTAGCGCTATCGATACTTTACTATAATATAACTAACCCTTCGACTTCCTACGAAACGATAGCTATATTAAATACTACGACTTCTTTAACGTAGAGGCGGGAAGGGACTTCGATATAAAAAGGAGGCTATAGTTAGTATAGAATGCTACTAATTTCGGTTATACTTAAATCGATACGGACGACGCGATAGTAATCCTCGATATAGGGCGTAGGAATAGAGAGTTTTATCGTCTAGAGATATATATAGAAACGGGAGAGTAGTACGTTTTCTTAGGACTACTATAAGTACGGTGCTCGCGCCCTAGAGACAGACGCTATTATAACTTAGAAAGAAGGCGGAGGAGCCTAAGTACGGTATCGTAGGTAGAGCAATCTATCTCCTTTAGTCTATAAACTTTCTATACTTGTTATCGTCTCTAAGCCGTAATTTGCCCTTACGCGACGTCTTCGATAGCGTAGCGGCGCGTAGGGTGTATTTAAAGCTACATCTCGTTCTTACTATATGTAAAGACAATACGCTCTCTAAATAAACGGCGGTACCGGACAAGTTAGAGGCCCTAGATAGACCGATACGTTTAGTTTTAGTCTCTATCTCGTCTTAGTATAGATAAGAAAGCACGTACCTTAGAAGGCTAGGGGTTTTTTTTTATATATATAAAGTTCTAGTATCCCTAAAACACGCGGGCGCTCCCGCTTAGCGCGGCAGCTCCTAGATACGGGGAAAATTACGTATAGGAACTCTAGAATTCGCGGCTATAGCTAGCCGCCTTACGCGAGCGTAAAAGGATAGCTAATAGAGGATTCGAACCTCTAATACTAAAAGTTATACCCTCGCTAGTCGCTATCCCGTATCTCTATAAGGACTACGAGCGAATAACTCTTACTATCTAGAACCGATCTAATTAGCTAGAGGGTTATAGAATACAGATAATTGTATAGA